ATTTATCAAACCAGTATTATTGGAATGATTTCAAAATATGTTATATCTTCAATTATTTCTGAACTATTACATTCTTTATGCCACTCAATTGACCATTAATATAAATTGCACACCCTTTACATTATTCACCAGCAGTATCTGTATATAGTTCAAAATAAAAATTTGATATCCATCCTATATCATTTAAATACGAAATCCTATTATACTGTTCCAAAAATAATTTCCATATCAATAGATAAAAGTGAAACGGTTTTGACACTTTGTCCATGGTCGAATACAACTAAACGCTCTTCCAGCAGGTATAGCCTTCGTGCAGAAAACTAATGAACCACATATTGACTGCAATTCTTTTAACGTTACTTTTTTCATGGCTTATAAATTATTAATTCTGTTTAAAAGTTCTTCAATCTTTTCGTGTGGAATTTAAACAAGCATATTAACAGTATCAATTGTAAGACCCAGATATTCAATCAGTGTAGATGGACCTTCATTTTTTTTTTTTTTTTTTTTTTTTTTTTTTTGCAAGTGAGACTACAATATCTTTGCAAATGTCATCATTCTGAAACATCAGTTGTTCACATTCATCAGAATCTGATTAGCCAACAATATTAAAATTCTTCCAAATAGTGGTCTATATTATTTAAACCAGACTTATTTTTAAAACCAATTCAAAAAGGCTAAAAACTTCTCAAACTTAGCATATGAAATTGAGCAGCCCAATGTCATTGCCTCGTCTATGTAGTATTCATTTACAATTTTAAAACCAAGTTAGTCAAAATCTCATGTATAAACCGGAAGTAATCAACAGCATTATCAAATGAAGAATATTTAACAGAGGTAAACCTTTCATCGATGAAGTCGTTAACGCTGCTCAATGGCTGATATGATAAATGGGTAATCAGACGAAAAACCTGTTTTTTTTAATTTTTTATTTTTTTTTTTAACTAATCCAATAGAAGAATATCTAAGATTAGATATTGGTCTCTTACAAAGAGCACCTGCTATTCTTCATAACGATATTTCAGATTCAATCTTACATCTAGCTCCAATAGGATTTGTCAAAACAGATTTTAATTTTTTGATTCAAGTGGAAATCTTGGTCAATTATGATTCAATCTAAATCCAGTAGTAAAAGCAGTAAAATTTAAAACCAATAAACAAAATTTGTTTGTCCTGTTCATTAGGATAATCTTAATTGTTCAATACTAATAGGTGAATGTCCCTTCTTCCAAATATCATATTTATCCTTTGACAATTCTGAAAGAAAAGTTAACTATATGTCATTTGATTAAATCTAGGGACGAAATACCTTGTGTTTATTGGTAACCTATATCTAATTGTTGAACAAATGAAGGCCTGTTTTGTCGAAACTGGTTAGACATATGAGATCTATTTTGGATAAACACTGGTGGCATCAATGATCCCTTATGATAACCTTGGTTACTTTGTAAGCTATCAAATCTAACACATAAGACTGGATGTTGTAATGAGCATTTCATACAGTTGTGTCTGTAAAACACTGAGATTTCTGACAATAACCTTTAAAGTTATAATCATAACAATGTCTTTGTAAGTTAGCCTGGCAGACTACAGGATTAGGTGTGCCTTGCGATCCCTTTACAATGAATTTCAACCAAAGAAAGTCATCAATCTCAGACAAAGATTTAGAGTGTTTTAGTGATACACTTAATCTAAATTTTCTATCATACGGGTAAACTCTGTCAAAATGTGCATCTGATATAAAAACTCTTATGATTAACATGTATGTAAACAAGTCTTGTGCTAAGCTAGCATGTTTTTGAAGAAGTATTTTAGAAAAAAAAAAAAAAAAAAAAAAAAAAAAAATTGCAAATGCTTCAGTCCATAATTCAATGTTATTTATTGTATTGTCCTTTGAAGGGTAATGAGAAATGACAAGCATTCCATTTTTAACCATTACACTTTGTTTCTGGTCCAAACTACTATAATATTGACTATTTTGTTGAAGAAGAGTACCAAAATCAACATTTTTACAATTCCGAATTTTCTCTATTATTTGCTGAGAAATAATTATGTCAATTTCATTAGAACATGGTATAAACAAAGGACAGTAGTATTTAAAGTATTACCCGGTTGAGCGTGAACTGCCGTAGTTTTCAGTTGTTTCTGAGGTGGATGTTGATTATTGGGCTCCACAGGTTGATCTGGTTGTTGAAGCTCGGGCGCTGCACGCCTTCTTTTTCTGTGTCTTCCTCTGTTTACCACTCGGACAACTTCCTCAGGAGCGGGTACCTGTTCTGGTGCTGGTACTTCACGAGGAACAGGTCGTTGAACTCCAACGTTGTTTACCTTTGGTCTTAATCTCCGGCTTACTTCATTTCTTCTATTCTTTTATAAAATGAAGTCATTATAAGTATATTGTTTTTATAAATATATAAAGATGTTTTAATTTATGAAACATTACATTGATGCCTCGGCTGCATATAGATAAAATGCTCCGTACCTAAAATATATACTATTATAAATGTGTATATAATGTACGCCTCTTAAGACATCTATAAGTGTATAATAACCAGCAGTAATTTGAACGGCAGTTGTAAATGCCATTACATTTGTAATAATCGTGTGTTCCATAACATCATAACAGGTATAATATCATTATCAATTTATTGAATCAAATTTAAAGAAAGCTTTATATGCACAATAACATGCAGCAAACTCAACAGCAGTTGTATTTATAATTAAATAAATGCCGTCACATTTGTAATAATCGGGCCTTCTGTAACTTGAATAACCGGTATTTCAGTGTCAATTTAGTACCTGAATTATATGCAGGTAAAGATTAAAATAATGTAACTATGCGTATATTTGTCAGCAAGCCTACACAAGGATTTCATAGCTAATTATACATGAGAATATTTATCGCTACTATGGTAAAATAGAAACAAAAACTTACCGATAAAAATACCTTGTTAAAGAACTGTGAATTAAATGCAACAACCATAAGTAAATGAAATTGAATGGTCATAAATAAGCACATATATATATATAAATCTAATTAAAGTGACATTAAACAATTCATTAATTTAATAATGAACGTGAAGAGAAACATATAATTTCACGAACACGTGTTAAACTTAAAGTTACCCGTTTTACTTTATCGTCACAGAATGTCAACTCACAGGTAAAAAAGGTTTGCTCTTTAAATATAAACCAAATTATTATAGTGAATTAAAATGAATAAAAGGAAACATATCTAAAGTATAACGGATAAACTTAACCAACTTATCTTATTTACGCTCTGGTCCTATCCTTGTGCAATTCTGTTGAGAAATAATCATTGAATGAAAATTGAGCGGGAACACGTGTTTATATATGACAAAGTCCACGAGGCGCTTCAAAGCATATTCTTTCGTATGTTTAAATATATGGTTGTAAAGATTTACATGGCAAACCGTAAACAATGGACTGACTGTACAATCGAAACTCAATAAACAAATACATGTATTTTGAATGCAATAAATCAATTTAATTATTAGATCATTAAATTTTATTATTTCTTAAATAAAATATCAATTGAAATGGCTTAACTCGATCAAAAAGACATATTCACAAAACAAGTAAATATACACTGAACGAATAAGTTTGATCTATGACACAATATGAATGAAATCAAGATTTATCAATGTCAAAAAGATTTAAACGTCATTGTTAAAAGAAATCACACACTATTTAAGTGGGTTAGGGACTATTTGCGGATACGAAAGTGTAATCGTATAAAAGATGTACGATTTCCAATCACTATATACCCGCTTTTGTAAAGCGAGTGGAACTATTAATACGGAAAAATGAATAAATTTATTATATTTTCCCCCGTTATGTACGAAGAACACAGATTAACCATGACAGCACTACCTGCCCTGATATCGATGCAAACTCCACCAGATGTAAGGTACATATTTCATTCGTTATCTGATTCTAACACTGGTAGTCCTAGCTTGACCACCGACAAACCAATCTTTTACAATCAGGGAAATATTATAGGCAATGATGTATACTTTTGGAATGGAGAAATGTGTTAACTTGTTTTGCAAGCAAACGATTTTCCTTTTACAGGTGAAACTCCTGAAACGTTACTTTAAATTGTAGCCGATGTTAATGGTCTCTTCAGACAGAGAACCGGTCGGGATCATAAGCTTTCCCCGGGAAACAGAATTCTTCTTTTATGTTATGGTTACAATCATATCCGTCTTATCATATGATTTCTGAAATAGTTGACCTTAGTGTTTCGACTACCAAAGATGAAACACATACATGTTTACCTATTTCAAGAAACATATAACCGTCTTATCTATTGGCCTTCGTTCACTGTTTGATTGGCAGAACTTACAAGGTGGGTGGCCAAAACTTCCGTTTGCAATAGGGCTATCGACGGAAAGTGTGTGGCCGATAACGGAACTACAAGACTTAGAATAGTATTACCCAAGACACAGACACTGTCACTGCTTTCACACTCAAGTTGTAATATTGAACGAAGACAGGAAATGTTATGTTGAGTGCGGATTTCATTGGCATTAGCAATATATTATGTTGATAAGAAATATAGGACAAGAATTACCTTTCCCGACTGAGCTGTTTTTGCTAGGCGACAAAATATATCCGAACAGATATCCAGTATTGACACCTTACATGAGACAAACCCTAGAATATGCAGAGGAAGTGTCGAAAATTAAATAGACATATTACACACTATAGAGAAGAGGTTGAACACGCATTCGGAGAATTAAAAAGAAACAAACACAAAGTTATGAGGACTTTGTGGCGATTCACATCTGTTGTAACTATAAGTTTCTGCATTTGTGTGTCGTCGAAAAGACTTATTAACATGATAAAAAAAAATATCATTTCATTTTACTATATAGACTGGTATCTCAATTGGGGTTATTTTCTTATTTTGAGAGGACCCCTTGTTTTTCGTCAACTGTAATCGTACCCTAGGTACCTAGTTTCCGCATATGTCTACAAGTGACTCATTGTATACATGTATATATAGATCCTACTAATTCAATATAGTCTTTCATTTTGAGGAAATCCGGCACTTGGTGACAGCTACCAAAGCAAAATTACAAAATGTTACAATTTATAATAATTTACATTTTCAATACTTGTTTGTGTGTATCTTCGTTACCGGTATTTAATGATAAAGTTACTTTGGAAAAGTTATGTACATTATATTTGCCACATAGTTATGACACAGATGGAACCCCATTATACAAGTATTCTAGTGGAGCCATAGAACAGACAACGTATGATCCTGATAATCACATAGTATATGCTGTAGGTAAGTATAAATGCGTATTCAAGATTGTTTTTTTTTTAATTTAATTATTTATTCATTTATTCACTAATTTTATTTTTAATATCCGAAAGGGAAAAAAGTTTTCACAATGACGTCATATACTGATTTTAGGGTCGCATTTTCGAGAACACATAAGGATTTTATACATGATATCATTAGTTACAAATAAAGCATAAAAACATGGAGTTAAACCTATTGAAAGACACAATGAACCCACGATTTTCTATTATATTTTCCTTTGAACTCTCCTGTTGTCGAGATTCAGGTTCACAAGTACTTGATTTGTCACCCAAAATCTGTTCAGAAAAGCATCAAAACTTGTTCCTGTATGTACAGATGATAACGGATATGTTCCTAATGTCGTAACTACAATCCCATACCCTTCTCCCGAATGTGACCTACCGAATTAGACTTATTACCGGGTTTATAATAACATGAGCAACACAACGGCTGCCACATGTGGAGCAGGATCTGTTTACCCTTCCGGAGCACCTGAGATCACCCCCAGTTTTTGGTGGTTTCGTGTTGCTCAGTCTTTATTTTTCTATGTTGTGTTTTGTATACTATTGTTTGTCTATTGGTCTTTTTCTTTTTTTAGCCATGGCGTTGTCTTATTTATTTTCGACATATGAGTTTGAATGTCCCTCTCGTATCTTTCGCCCCTCTTTTTATACTTTATTCACACTCCTTAAGATAGATTGTTACAGTATGTCTGGGAGTATACATGATATAGATTTTTCGACATTCCGATGCAGATCAGCGAGTTCTTAATACTTTCAAAAGAAGTTCATAAAAAATCCGAAATATAACCTGTTTACCTTTCGCCTTTTAAAAGCGACTTATTAATTTATAAAAAGCGCGGGAATGATTCATGACCCCTCTTCAAATGTTTTTACATTTTGTTTTTGGAAAAGGTATTATAGATAAAAATAAGTTCCTGATGTTTAAATTTTTCTTTACAAAACAAAGTAGGAAATAAAAGCGTTACCTTGTTTAAAAAATTATCATTGACATGGACGATACTTTCAGGAAGACATATGATTTTTTTTTAGGAAAACGGCATCATGTCAGGAATTTTCTTCATTTTTGTAAACTATGCCAAGCTGTTGACTTTATGCTATCAGAACATCTTAAACTTGTAAATTCATTTCTATTTCTTGAATCTTTGAATTTCCAATATTATGAGCAAATTTGAAGTACTCAAAAAGTTCAATTTCTTGGGTCAAAATTGGGCCTAAATATCCAATCTCCTTTAACCCCCTTTTACCAATCAATGCTGTTTGCTATGATAGATGAAACATTTAAAACTCCTTTTCTCCTTTTATCATATCTAATCCGTATCTAAAAAAAGAAGAAAAATGAGAATTGGGTTGGTATTACCACTTTAATATGACAATCTACATAAACACGGAAATTATACTGGCATAATAGTCTCGGAAGTTTACAGAATTCCATTAAAACATTCAGCGGTGGATTCAAAGGGGGGCGTAGAGGGCGTTCCCCATTTTAATTGGAAAATATATATTTTTTTTAGCATCAAATCGATCAATAATATTTTTTTATGGAACTACAACCCCTTTCAAAAATTCTGGATCTGCCCCGCACAATTCTACTTAAATCCTTGTCTTTTTAAGCGATCAAGTCAACATATTTATCCCAATTTAGGAATGACAGATTTGAAGGTTACTTAATTTTTACTGGTGAAAAAAAATCTGTATATTTCCAAAATGAAAGTAACATATATACCGGTTACCTACAATTGCTTACATCCACTTCATTTGAACTTTGGTGGATAGTTGTCTCATTGGTAATCATACCATACCACATCTCCTTATTTTTATATACGTAATTCTTTTAGGTGGAAATATTCTACATGTTATTGATGTAAAAAATGTCACATCTCCGAAGATCGTTTATCATATGGAGGTTGACAACGTGGATCTAACAGACATTGAATATTGTGGTGGATACATTTTCGTTTCCATGGATAATCTTTTGTTTAAAGAGGAGGGGCGTGTTGTTATATACAGGAATTTCTCAACATCAGAGCTGATGATCGAAAAATATAACATAACAGGTGAATTTTATTTAATGGTGTTGCTTGTATGTTTTAACGATTAAGATATCTGTACTTGTATTAAGTATGGCAAATCAAGAATATTAGAAAATTAGTTTAAAATAACATTATCACTCAAAAGAAAACAATATATATCTAGAGCAAACACACAAGTGTTTTGTTTCTTCTTTCTATTAACTATTTTGGTTTATTGTTGTATATAGGGCTTGTATTATATTTGCCTTCGGGTTTATATGATCCGTTCATCCTATTTTGACTCCTCAAAATTCAAGAGTCTATCCTAAATTGAGGTAAATTGTATGGCTTTCCAAATACCGTTTCGATTCCTAACATCACTGAAGAGACATTAATTGTCGAAATCCGGATATGGTGTACAAAAATCTTTGAACCTTTTGTTTGCGGTATACCATTTTTTCCGCAAGTTTATTGTTTTCTGTTTAGTATTAAATTAATAATTAAGATCCATTTATTACATCGGTGATCCGTTTATTTGGCAATCGCCAATGGCAGTCAGCAGGGTTTAAGAACATTTGTTGTTCGACCTGTTAGTAAAATGCGTTTTGTTAAAATATACTTTTTCACTTTTTTGTTCTTTTGGAAAATGTTGTTTGTGCTGTATTTAGACCCCTCTAACAGGAAATTTGTTTTGCATGCACACGTATAAAAATTGCGGTTTTTATCCAACGCAATCATAGGTTTGAACGTTGTTTTCAATTTAGACTTGTTTATATTTTTTCGTTTGGGCTTGTATTATATTTGCCTTCGGGTTTATATGATCCGTTCATCCTATTTTGACTCTTTCAAAATTCAAGAGTCTATCCTAATTTGAGGTAAATTATATGGCCTTCCAAATACCGTTTCGATTCCTAACATCACTGAAGAGACATTAATTGTCGAAATCCGGATATGGTGTACAAATTTTTGCACCTCATGTTTGCGGTATACCATCTTTTCCGCTAGTTTATTGTTTATTGTTTTCTGTTTGGTAATAAATTAACAATAAGATCTTTTTTGTTACATCTTGTGATCCGTTTATTTGGCAATCGCCAATGGCAGTCAGCAGGGTTTAAGAACATCAGTTGTTCGACCTGCTAGTCAAATGCGTTTTGTTAAAATATACTTTTTCACTCATTTGGTCTTTTGGAAAATGTTGTTTGTGCAGTATTTAGATCCCTCTACCAAGAAATTTGTTTTGCATGCACACGTATAAAAATTGCGGTTTTTATCCAACGCAATCATAGGTTTGAACGTTGTTTTCAATTTAGACTTGAAAACAACGTTCAAACCTATGATTGCGTTGGATAAAAACCGCAATTTTTATACGTGTGCATGCAAAAAAAAAATTCTTGTTAGAGGGGTCTAAATACAGCACAAACAACATTTTCCAAAAGACCAAAAAAGTGAAAAAGTATATTTTAACAAAACGCATTTGACTAACAGGTCGAACAACAAATGTTCTTAAACCCTGCTGATATATATATATATATATACAATAGGGTTTAAGAACATTTGTTTTTCGACCTGTTAGTCAAATGCGTTATGTTAAAATATACTTTTTCACTTTTTTGGTCTTTTGGAAAATGTTGTTTGTGCTGTATTTAGACCCCTCTAACAAGAAATTTGTTTTGCATGCACACAAAAATTGCGGTTTTTATCCAACGCAATCATAGGTTTGAACGTTGTTTTCAATTTAGACTTGTTTATAAATATACAATATATGTACATTGTCGGAAAATATAAAATTTATTTGTATGAGCTTTAGAACCAGGACGAAAACCGCAATTTATATTGTCTAAATACAGCACAAACAACATTTTCAAAAGACCAATAAAGTGAAAAAGTATATTTTAACAAAACGCATTTGACTAGCCGGTCGAACAACGGATGTTCTTAAACACTGCTGACTGCAATGGCGATTGCCAAATAAACGGATCACCAGATGTAACAAAATGGATCTTAATAATTAATTTAATACTAAACAGAAAACAATAAACTTGCGGAAAAGATGGTATACCGCAAACATAAGGTGCAAAAAATTGGTACACCATATCCGGATTTGGACAATTAATGTCTCTTCAGTGATGTTAGGAATCGAAACGGTATTTGGAAGGCCATATAATTTACCTCAATTTAGGTTAGACTCTTGAATTTTGAAGATTCGAAATAGGATGAACGGATTATATAAACCCGGAGGCAAATATAATACAAGCCCAAACGAAAAAATATAAACAAGTCTAAATTGAAAACAACGTTCAAACCTATGATTGCGTTGGATAAAAACATATATATATATATATATATATATAATGTCTAAAAATAGCAACAATCAACATCCAATCTATTTAATCTAGATTTTGTCATTTGATAAGGGACTTTCCGCATCGTATATATATATATATATATATATATACGTTGCGGAAAGTCTATATATATATATACTCAACAACAAAAGAAACGCACCGTGCACCTCCAATTATTTTTTTGGAACACAGATTTCTATTGCATATTTTTTTCAAATGATTGAAATTAGTCCTAAGGTTGTCACAACGTTCTGAAGTCATATTTAATACCAAATTCTGAAAAAAAGAGTTTTTTTTAAAATCTAAAAAAAAAAACACAATGGAATTTTAAGCGCCTGTCATACAAGTGAGAGGTTTAGCTAGTTATAAAACCAGGTTGAATCCACCATATTCTACATAAGGAAATGCCTGCACATCAGGAATATGACAGTTGTTTTCCATTCGTTTGATGTGTTTGAGCTTTTGATTTTGCCATTTGATAAGGGACTTTCCGCTTTGAATTTTCCTTGGAGTTCGGAATTTTTGTTATATTTACTTTTTGTTAACAAAAAATGTTGCCACATTTGTAAAAACTAAAGACAAGTGTATCTTTTCGCCTGAAAACAACGAAAATGACTTTGATCTGAAGTTTAAAATCGATTTCTTGTCTGATGACCGTTTTGAAATTGACTTATCTCAGATTTTTGTCTTTTGCGTTTGAAATCTCAATTGTCGCTACTGAAATGAAAATTTCTCTTTAAAAGACGCATAAATTTCAAGGTTATGCTTAAAATATAAAAGATTTCTACAAATGTGTAGCAAAAACAAGAAATTTTGAAACTTCTATATATGATAAGATGTGGTGCGTTATTTAATTGTTAAGTATATTTTACATTGTGACCCTATTTGCTTTCATCGCGTAAATCAGATTCATTTTTATATTCTAGGCCAAACTCTAGTAAATGTACATTTATTTAACACACATCAAATGTTTATTTATTTTTTAGTTGGATCATTACCCGATATGGTCTACCCATCAAAAGACTGCAATACAATATTGGTTGCGGTAGAAGCCGAGGCCTATCAAGATGATGGTAAAATTGTAGATCCCGAAGGTGGAGTCGGGATAATAAAAATTGAAAATGACGAAGCAACGTATAAAAAGTTGGACTTCAAAGAATTCAATTCAAAGTAATTATTCAATGTAATTATCTATTTGTGTGCATTTTATTATTATCATTAGTGCTAGATAATACTCCCTTAAACAAATAGTTGGGGAAAATAAATCTAAATTTAGTGTTAACACTAGACAATACTCCCTTAAACAAAGAATTGGGGGAAATAAATCTAAATTTAGTGTTAATGCTAGACAATACTCCCTTAAACAAAGAATAGGGGAAATTAAATCTAAATTGAGGTTAATGCTAGACAATACTCCCTTAAACAAAGAATTGGAGAAAATAAATCTAAATTTAGGTTAATGCTAGATAATACTCCCTTAAACAAAGAATTGGAGAAAATAAATCCAAATTTAGTTTTAATGCTAGACAATACTCCCTTAAACAAAGAATAGGGGAAATTAAATCTAAATTGAGGTTAATGCTAGATAATACTCCCTTAAACAAAGAATTGGAGAAAATAAATCCAAATTTAGTGTTAATGCTAGATAATACTCCCTTAAACAAAGAATAGGGGAAAATAAATCTAAATTTAGGTTAATGCTAGATAATACTCCCTTAAACAAACAATTGGAGAAAATAAATCCAAATTTAGTGTTAATGCTAGATAATACTCCCTTAAACAAAGAATAGGGGAAATTAAATCTAAATTGAGGTTAATGCTAGATAATACTCCCTTAAACAAAGAATTGGAGAAAATAAATCCAAATTTAGTGTTAATGCTAGACAATACTCCCTTAAACAAAGAATAGGGGAAATTAAATCTAAATTTAGGTTAATGCTAGATAATACTCCCTTAAACAAAGAATTGGAGAAAATAAATCCAAATTTAGTGTTAATGCTAGACAATACTCCCTTAAACAAAGAATAGGGGAAATTAAATCTAAATTGAGGTTAATGCTAGATAATACTCCCTTAAACAAAGAATTGGAGAAAATAAATCCAAATTTAGTTTTAATGCTAGACAATACTCCCTTAAACAAAGAATAGGGGAAATTAAATCTAAATTGAGGTTAATGCTAGATAATACTCCCTTAAACAAAGAATTGGAGAAAATAAATCCAAATTTAGTGTTAATGCTAGATAATACTCCCTTAAACAAAGAATAGGGGAAAATAAATCTAAATTTATGTTAATGCTAGATAATACTCCCTTAAACAAACAATTGGAGAAAATAAATCCAAATTTAGTGTTAATGCTAGATAATACTCCCTTAAACAAAGAATAGGGGAAATTAAATCTAAATTGAGGTTAATGCTAGATAATACTCCCTTAAACAAAGAATTGGAGAAAATAAATCCAAATTTAGTGTTAATGCTAGACCATACTCCCTTAAACAAAGAATAGGGGAAATTAAATCTAAATTTAGGTTAATGCTAGATAATACTCCCTTAAACAAAGAATTGGAGAAAATAAATCCAAATTTAGTGTTAATGCTAGATAATACTCCCTTAAACAAAGAATTGGAGAAAATAAATCCAAATTTAGTGTTAATGCTAGACAATACTCCCTTAAACAAAGAATAGGGGAAATTAAATCTAAATTGAGGTTAATGCTAGATAATACTCCCTTAAACAAAGAATTGGAGAAAATAAATCCAAATTTAGTGTTAATGCTAGACAATACTCCCTTAAACAAAGAATTGGAGAAAATAAATCCAAATTTAGTGTTAATGCTAGATAATACTCCCTTAAACAAAGAATTGGAGAAAATAAATCCAAATTTAGTGTTAATGCTAGACAATACTCCCTTAAACAAAGAATTGGAGAAAATAAATCCAAATTTAGTGTTAATGCTAGACAATACTCCCTTAAACAAAGAATTGGAGAAAATAAATCCAAATTTAGTGTTAATGCTAGACAATACTCCCTTAAACAAAGAATAGGGGAAAATGATTCTAAATTAAGGTTAATGCTAGACATGCTCCCTTAAACAAAGAATTGGGGGAAAAATCTAAATTTAGGTTAATGCTTGATAATACTCCCTTAAACAAAGAATTGGGGAAAATAAATCTAAATTTAGGTTAATGCTAGATAATACTCCCTTAAATAAAGAATTGGGGAAAATAAATCTAAATTTAGTGTTAATGCTAGACAATACTCCCTTAAACAAAGAATAGGGGAAATTAAATCTAAATTGAGATTAATGCTAGATAATACTCCCTTAAACAAAGAATTGGAGAAAATAAATCCAAATTTAGTGTTAATGCTAGACAATACTCCCTTAAACAAAGAATAGGGGAAAATAAATCTAAATTTAAGTTAATGCTAGATAATACTCCCTTAAACAAAGAATAGGGGAAAATAAATCTAAATTCAATTATTAGTGTTAATGCTTGATAATAGTCCCTTAAACACAGAATTTTAATTGGGGAAAATAAATCTAAATTTAGGTTAATGCTAAATAATACTCCCTTAAACAAAGAATTGGGGAAAATAAATCTAAATTTAAATTTTTTGTGTTTTATTCACTATTGATTGATTACAATTGTTTAAACTAATATAATTGTCAACAACTATTCGTCTTTTACAAAAACAAACAAAATATATCTCATCATATCTATTAACAACGCATTAGTTGTTCCTATTTTTGTTTTACATACTCTTCATTACTATGGGATTTAAAAAATATAAATATATTACTGAAAAATTACATTTCCAGTTCTAATGATGATATAATGGATGTCTGCTTAATGTCCAGCGGAAAATTAATATGCATATTCAGGTCGAGAACGTGTTAATGTAATATGAATATCAACCCTTCTTTGTACTAGATCGACACGCTGAGCCGGATTTTTAACATGCAGTTCACAAGGTAACAGTCCGCAGGAAGACTTATCACCTTACCCGGACTCATTATTCTGACTCCGAGCCGACCAGTCTTTGCTCTTACTTCCTAATGCCACGTGCTTAGGAGGAGAAGCAGCAAATACCAATTTGCAAGTCTTTGGTTTGACCCGAACCGGGTTCGAACCCATGACCTCCCGCACTCGATGCGAACACGCTACCACGAAACCACCTTAATAGTTAAGGCAAATGTAAAATATAAATACTACTCAAGAGAACGTTAACCTTGTTTTTCTTATATCATATTGTATACAAGCAGTAAATTTCCTCAGTTGGAAAAAATCTCGGCAAAAATAGCATGTTTGATGACTTTTGTTACAGATGGTCAGAATTAGAATCAAAGGGATTACGCTTTGTACATAGAGTAAACAACAACAACTTTTCCAACGATGTGGAACCAGAATGTATATCATATAACAAAGATTATTCTAAAGCTTACATTTGTCTTCAGGTAATGCTTTTGATTGATTTTATATTATACTAGTGTTATATTTGCAACTCAGGATTAAAAGAAATGTTTTCCCATATTGCTACATTTTATTATTTAATTATAGAAATATGGGATATAAAATAAACAAAGGCATCGTGTTGTCAACACACTTTCAAGGGGGAGGGGGGAAATCCAAGACAGCCTGTTCGATTATAGTAAAATTGTGAGAGAATACATCGGATACGGTCCAAGACATGGCATTCAATGCCGAATACAAACAAAGCCAAAAACAGGAAGCAAAAAACACTGACAACATATATTTCTTCAAACAGTATCAAATGATTCAACAGTTCTTTTATTTCTCAATGACAGAAAACCAGATGAAAAATTATAAAAAACGCACAGGCATTAAAAAACACAAATACATATAATTTTTATTAGATAATATCGGCTGTTCAGTTGGCCTCATATATTACCCATGAAAGTGGGCAGTTTTTGAAAAGCATCTAAATATTAAATTAATTGTATATGATTTTTTAAAGATCGACAATTGATTGGTCGTTTATATATATATATATATCACATTTTGTGTGTCAGGATGTATGTGTTCTCTATTGAGGCTTGCACATTTCATTGTATCAATAATAATTTGTAACTTTTTTTTAAGGAGAATAATGCAATAGCTATCGTCGACATTGCCACAGAAACCATAGAAGATATATTACCATTAGGTTTCAAGTCATGGGGAGAACTTATGATGGACCCGAGTGACAAAGATGGTATGCAATATATTAATTGTGCCCGATATTTCGTGAGGCTCTTGTCCTCGTTTCTTCGTTATATATTAAAAACACATTATTTGAATATATCTTTCAATTTCTTTTCGTTTACATACCTGCGACAAATACTGTAAAGCTATTCTTTATCAAATAATTTATCATGCACACATTTCCGATTTTTCTGCACGAAATTAGTAGCTTGAACTCTGAGATACATCTCTAACGGTAAGATAAAAATTGAAGAAAAAACATACAAACAAAATAAAAGGCAGTCAAATTATGAAAAAAAATGTATCATACAGAAATTTATGAGTTTTGAAAACTAGCTTCGAATTTTAAGATTTATTGATATTCTTCAACTGGATTTTATTTGCATGATAAATTTTCACACGAATTTTCTATCTTTTCATTCTTGACAATAGTCTTTAAGTTTAAATAATACATGTCGAATCTTTGATTATAAAATTGAAAATATAACATATTATAGATTTTTCTCTTCTTTTGGAGGAATTCATCTGAGGTCCTGGCCAATCTATGGCATGTATCAACCTGATTCTATTCACGTGATAAATGTGGCGGGAAATGAATACCTAGTGACATCTAATGAGGGTGACTCTAAGGATTACTCAGACTGGGGAGGATTTAATGAAGAAGAACGTGTTCGAGATATCATCTTATCAGGTATAAAAATTTGAAACATCATTTTATAAATTCATGCGTCCGAAGCCCTTTCTGGATTTACCTTCATCAGAAACGCTCAAACCGAATATTCGAATGGCAAGGATGGATGTATAAGAATAGAAACAGTTGCAGGACTATTAGACCTAAAAAGGACATAGAAAAATAGCCAAATCCATATAAGATCAACTTTGCCTTAACAATGATCATTATAAACGCTGTTTTTAGAATTTAGTTATTTAGAAATTATGAAATATGTAGCTAAAGGAGTTTGGTGCTTTTAAAAGATTTTTGTTAAATTTTAATCGTTAAGTAATTATCAAGTGGACGAACCATAGTACATTATATATATTATATATCCTTTCTTTTATTTTTTATCCGCAAATACACAAGTACAAGGAAGACATGTAAGGCATTGCATTACATACATAAACATAAATATACAATATATCTCATCACCAAATACATAGGTACAGAGAAGACATGTAATACATTACATTATACGAACATAAATATACAATATATACAACAATATTTCAATTTATTCAGGAGGACACACTCGTTTGTTTATAATTCGTTAAAAACTTACATACATTTATGAGATCTGTCCTATTTGTAGAAGACATAATTTCAGTAAATAGTATAAAATTTGACCTTCTATCAAAATAAATATAAATTTGAAAATTGAAAACATACTATTTGATATTCTGTAAATATACTGTTTAAGTTTATGATGTTTTTATCACGTAAAATGAATATTCACTATTTAATTGTACTAGCTTTTTTTTTAAGAAAATTCTACGATTGTTAAATGGGCTGCTGACCACAAACTTTCTACGACTCTCCAAAACGATAACATGCTAGGTAAATGTTTTAATTAATATAAAAAAAAAATGCTTTACTTGAATAGAAATAAGAAGATGTGGTATGAGTGTCAATAAGACAACTCTCCATCCAAGTCACAATTTGTAAAAAGTAAACAATTATAGGTCAAAGTACGGCCTTCAACACGGAGCCTTGTCTCACACCGAACACCAAGCTATAAAGGGCCCCAAAATAACTAGTGTAAAAAAATTCAAACAGGAAAACCAACGGTCTAATCTATATAAAAAAACGAGAAACGAGAAACACTTATAAACCACATCAACAAACGAAAACCACATAACAACAGGTTCCTGACTTACGACAGGTGCAAACAAATGCAGCGGGGTTAAACTGAACGAATAAATTTGATCTACGACACAATATAGATACAATATTGATAAAAAAAAGGGGGAGATGTAAAACAATGTCAAAAAGACAACTCTAACCTTGGACAAAGTGGCGTTAAATAAAATAACGTACACAGGTTAAGTTTAAATATAATAATTTTGTTGTTATTGAAACAAATATTAGCTTTCACCCTACGGCCTTCAACAATGAGCAAAATCAATACAGCACAGCAAGCTATAAAAGACCAGAAATACAAATGTAAGAAAATTTAAATGATAAAAGTAACGGCATGATTTATGTACAAAGCAATAAACGAGAAACAAATATGACAAAAGCAGCAAACGACAACTAGGAAATTTAATGAGAACATTTTCTCAACCAACTGGAAACAACTTAACATTGTCATTGACCAAACATGTCCACTGTACTAGTGGTCAGTTTAACATTATTTCCTGATATGTCATATTCTTCTGGTCAGAAAAAGGTCTTCAGGATATGCCTTTGTATCAACACGATCCCCACCGAAATTCGGGGTTTAACTCAATTGTTCCGGAAGGACAAGCTGTTCCGTCTTTACTAATGGCGACAGTCATAGTACTCGTTGAAAGGAAACATTCAGTGAAAAATCGCATTTGGTTATGTTCCAGTCACTAAAAGGAAACGGGAAAGTGGCAGTGACAAGGTTACATATCCTTGGTCATCTATGACATGAACGTTTCAAAACGGTCGATTAAGTCATAATGGCATTCGTCAAAATTTTGAAATAACTTTTTAATATCGATCTCTTGGTTGAGTAGCTTATGTGTTTACAGTAACCAAGGAAATCATGATAAGAAGTGAAAACCCTGAAATATCGGATCAACCGAAAGATTAAAACAAAGTAATGTATAGTCGTAGTTTTTTTTAATTCTAGGTCGGTTAAAAATAACAAATATGAATGGTAGAAATAATGCTGGTACATATGACGAGCTTTATGCTTTCGGAGGAAGAGGTTTCTCCATTAGAAAACTAGAAACAATGGAACTCGTGTACGATAGTGGCGACCAGTTTGAAAAGCTTCACCAAGAATACATGCCACTGTTGTTTAACAATAATGCAGAGAATGGAACTAAAACAGTCAACCAGACATTTGACACTAGGTCTGGCGATAAGGTATATAGTAAAATAATTCTGTAGATATTGAATTCTAAACGGCATTTGTTTTAACCATTTTAAAGAAGCTACTTTTGCCATTAGCCAGTATATAGCTATTGAAGAAACATACTTTAGAACTTAAAATAACAAAGCACTACAATTAACTTCTTAAGGTTTTTTAGAATGTGTAATTATTAGAGACGTTCGGTCTTGCAACATATTTACACATGATTTATAATTTACGTTGGTATCGGACGTTTAAAGAGGCACTAGCTACGAGATATATAAAAAAAAAAAAATATGGAGATATAAAAAAAAATAAAATATGATGTATTTTGTTCAATCATTAATGAAAGTAAAATAGTGAAACAATAATACGTTTTTTTCCTAACCCAGGATAAAGGGGTGTTCCAACTATATGTACCCATTCAAATTCGAAAGAAACAATATAATAATAAAATAACAGGCAGAAATATGTTCAATACAACGTATCATTATAATGCTGAATATCTTAAAAAGATTATAACAAAGTTCTGGTATATAATTCGGAAAGATCCGATTGCCAAACAAATATTTAAATCTAAACCAGATATGGGTTTCAAAAACAATAAGAATATTAGTAACATGATAATTAATCATTAAGGTGAAGAACCCCTCCACAGGAGGTTTTTATAATATAGTCTATACTGTGAAACAGATGTAATAAAGACTTGATGCCGATTTATTTCAATAGATCACGTATCTGTGATAACTGATGGTTTCTTATACATCCATGCTTCTACCCGGCAGGGTACCTACACAAACTTCTTCAAATGATAAACATGGAGACTTTTGTATATCATCATATAGATGATAATACAAACATGCCAGTATATCCTGAGTTCAACAATATAACATTGATAAATACAATACTGTCTCTACTAGATCTCGTGTAGACTTATGTTGAATTAGTGATAAAAAATAAGCTAAGAAACATCGGTAATGAATAAATCACTTGTATTGAATCCGTATTCATGTGAATTTCAATTTAACCCCTTAGCTAGAAATGGGTTACGCATGAATAAGTCGTGTTCAGTTATTTAATGGAAAAGAATGTCAACATTGAAAGTGAGACAAGAGTAAACCATTTGATTGACTAATTCGATTCATAAAAACTAGTTCTTATACAGGTAACAACGATGATTAAGATATATTTTAAACCTATAATATGAAAACAAACAGACCTAGAAAAATCCAATTGCACGAGTTCGCTATCTATTTATATCTATGTTTATGTTATTATCTTGTTATATGACCGACGGCAGTCTTGGAGGTCACAACGATGGTTAATTATATGGCGTCTAGACTAAAATACACACGAAATGTTGATACATATTATCGAGCCTATGCATTGTAAATTGTTTATTTTAGGCTTTCTATAAATTAGATGTACCTTTTAGTATGTTATAAATCAAATATGAGAATGTAAGTCAAATCAGTGAACATGAATTGGACAGCTAGTGTCCCGTTAACGTGTTTGTAAAGGGCGATATATAACTTGGTTCAAATCAGAGTTTCTCCCGTTTGCTCGAAAACGCTTAGATGAAAAACATTTCAACAATGCATTATTAAAAATAAAAACAAAACTTCATAAATTCCATGCGTCTAAAGTGCTTTTCTCGATTTACCTTCATCAGAAATGTCCAAAGCCGAATATTTAAAAGCCAAGGGTGTATAAGAACCAAAACAGTTGAACAGTTATATGACCAAAAGGCACCTAAAATAATAGCTAAATCCATCTAAGGTCAACTTTACCTGAGGGAGTTGAAACCTAAGTTTCTTTTAAATAATTTTTATATTCATAAACGAACAATTTTGAAAGGTTGAAAGGCGGAATCAACCCAGTGCTGTAAAAAATGAAAATTATAAGTATTGAGATAGGTCAGATACTTTAGTGAAATAAATGCAGGTATAAACTACGACAAACCTCCGAACGTATCTAATTCCAGATCATTTAAAAAAGATTTATGATCCGAGTAATACATTGGTCTTAGCTCCTCAAGTACTAATATACGCTAAGCTTTTCCAATTCAATTCGTCTTAAAATACTTTGACCAATTTCAACTGACACCGGGATCTCTGTGTTATATTTGATTTACTTTACTGACCTTATTTTGAAGGGGCCCGAGAGTGAAAGTCTTTCAGTTGCTCATATCGGCAATGCTGTTTTATTATTCATTGGAAATGAACGACCTGGCAGTATATTAATTTACAAGATAATAGGAGATGCTTCTAAGCCAGAATTTCAAAGTATATGGAACGGTGTTCAAGAAACGGATAACAAATGGGAAGAGCTTTATGACAGAAGAATGTTAAGTGAAATAGATCCCGAAGACATAAGGTTTGTATTTAAAAAGAAACTGATTTAGAAAAAAAACAAACTAATAAACCTAGTAACTATTTTGTTTAAGAAATGAACCAAACTAATTCTAATAGTGTTTATATTAAATCATTGGCTCCAAAAAGCCTTTTTGACTTACCTAGTAGTACGGTTCTTCCCCACTTAAAAAGGCCAACAGAATTCAGAAATTTCTTATAAAAAACAGTTTAAAGAAAGGCATTTCCAATATCCAAACTATCCCCTTGGTCCGGATGTATTTCATCTTACAGAACTTTAAAAAAAGGTTTTCGGAATAAAGTAAATTTATAAAAATCAGGAGCATATTGACGTTTATAAATTTATCCGCTGATTTTAGACATTCAAACGTTTGGTTTTTGAGCGTTACTGGTGTCTTTAAATTGAGAAAAACTCTTTAAAGCACCATATTCATAAAGTTTTTTTTCTCCATTTTTTAGCATTGGGTCGATATATGCTGCTGCTGATGTACTGTGAGGTTCTGAGGGTATCATCAGCTCAGTAGTCCGTTCTTCGGTTCCGATATGATTTTAAACTAACTTTTATTAAATTCACCGTTAGTAAAGTTGGAAAATGATTAATAAACTAAGGTTCACACTCCGCAGGCAAAGTTGACGTTCGATCAATTTTGCTATACGTTTTATATCCTCTTTGGTCATGTAGCTCCCCGCGTATTCCGGTATTTATATTCTTGGCGGAAGTACCAAATTTATTAAATATTATTTTGCATTTAAAAAGGATGAAAAACACATTGCAGAATTACATGAAAAAACCCTATTCCCTATCTGATTGGCCATGAAAAATAAATCAAAAACTGCATTGTCGTTATATTTGTAAAGTCATAATTAGGTTAAATAATATGTCAAACAGTCCAAGACTTCCACACATGACACGTCTCACTATAGAATTATATAAAAGTCATCTGCATAATAAAGTATATCCTAGGGTGGCTGAAAATAGACATCTCCCATCCTACAAACATGTACCAACCATCAGCTTATATGTCTTCGGTTGAATGAAAACTGATCAGAAACGTCTATTCATAAAATATGACCTCTATGGAAGGTTTTGACTATGTTTGATATGAATTATAAGAATTAAACGGTACCAGTTTTACTACACCAGATGCAGATTTCGACAATACATGTCTCTTTAGTGATGCTCAAGGTTAAAATATTTGAAAATCAAAAACCTAAAAAAAAACGTTGACGATCTAATACATGTATAACGAAAAGTATAGCCTAACCCAAACAAGGAATCTATGGATGAGGGTTATACTTTTCTTAATCTCAAATGATTTCTCAAAGCCTTTTTTTGGGTTTGTTAAATTACGAAAAAATCTCACTTTATACCCAAAAATTAACCAAATATGTGAAAATGTCACAGCTTCGAAACGAGCCTTCATACATATCCAAATTTACGAAATGGGCAGAGAAATTGAAGTAAATGCTACCATTACCGCCTACCTGAAATGAATTGCGCATATTTACCCAATTTATGGGCCTTATTTTAGAAATTCTCAGACTAATATATGGATGATTACATCTTGTTCTAGATGAAAGAATGATATTGTTTCAGATACATTCCCGCTGATCATAGTCCAAATAAGCAGCATATATTAACAGCTGCTGGCACTGTCAGCGGAACCTTTTCCATGTTTGCAATCAAAGGTATTAATGGTGAGTAAGACCATGGATATCATATGAACTTAGAAGTAATTAAAGATAAACAGAGAGCAATCAAACGACACACAAAAAAAATGAAAGACATCACTACACAGTCACCAAATTAAGAAAAAAAGTGTGTACTTCATATGTCGAGCATTTCCCGATTTCATTTTCAAAATTATCAAAGAATTACTGGAGACAACCAATGAGTAAATGTTGTTCATAGAACCCACTTAATCTAGTCCTTCCTTTATAGAAGAATACAAGGCTATAATACATTTTTCTTCATGTTTTCAACTATTCTAGCGTTAAAACAAACATGAGGGGAGAGGATAAAATTACTATCAAACTCAATTCAAACACGTATCCTCTACATTTAATAACAGATAAATTAATGATATAAATGTTTATCGTTCTGTAGAACACAACTTGGGAGCAGCGCCCACGGATAAAGCAGCTGGCTTAAATATAGGTAGGTTACCGTATTTCAAGAAAAATTCAATTTGCAACTTTTGTATTTAAACTAATAAATCTTTGTATACTATCATATTTGTATTGGATGTGGAGAAAATTATGTACAATAATACCGAACTCCAATGTAAATTCAAGATTAAGGGGGAAGTCTATACAACCTGGCAGAATCAAACGTTAGTTGTTCAAATACTTTGCAAACTGCATTAAATGTTCATTTTCGGATTAGATAATGATGCACATATTCTTTATAAATTGTTCCCTTGTTATTATAAAAAAAGAAAACATGATTGGTGTTAACAAAACAATGCCCGAGTGCTGTTCAAAATGCGACACAGTTGTTATTTTATCAAATGGATGGTTCAACAAAGTTTGTAGGCGAAAAGTTCGATAATGAAATAGATTGTTTATTGATTGTATTTTGCACAACAGAAATACAGAAACGTAATGTTAGATGACTAACAGTCCACCATCATGTGATATTGACCTTGTGGTGATAAATCATAGTTAAAGGGACCAAATATTCCTAGTCAAAAATTTAAAGCAAAGGATGTATAAGTGTCGAAACTCTTGGAGAGATAAATGACCAATTGGGACATAAAAATAGTGACTAAATCCATCTGAAGTCACCTTTGCCTGATAGATTTGGAACATTTTAAAAGTTCTCAATATTTCTAAATTTATTAATGTTCGGTTAGTTGGATCATATTAAACAAAGTGGACCTTGACTCAGTAACACACCGCTGGTCATTTCTTTAAAGTAACATTTACTTAGATAATAGGCTACATTAGAGTCTACAGTACTTTACGTAGGTTCTAAACTCATTTGGAATGTACCAACCTAGACAAGTACAATTAAGGACCCGCGAGACTAGATACGCCAACAGGGTTGACGTCTCTAACTATGCATATATTACTATGTAAATCCTGACTCAAAATTGTCACGTTAAAGAATATGCTACTATGGGTTGCTTTTAAGATAAGAAAATCGTCATGTACAATTTATGTAAAACATAAATGGACATCTAACAAAATGATTTCAGTGAATGCATATTTTATGGTGATAAAGTCATCAACTACAAGACTTAATGCAAAAACTGCATTTTCATAATGCAAAAGTAGAATCATTTTCAATTTGCAAAGCTGAAACCCTTAACCATTTTAACATGTAACTATATATATTTAAACAATATGTGTATTATAGGTTTGCCAAGTGTGATAATAGCAGTACTTAGTAGTTACATTATTCTGAGATGCAGCAATTAATAACCACAGATAAAACGTACAGCATTGTATTGGACAAAACGAACGTCTCGGATTAATAACATGCTTAGAACAATGCATGTTCTCCTGACAAGACAAGATATTGCCAGTGAATATACACATGTTATAGTGATAAAGTCATCAACGACAGGAACGAAAACTCCTTTCTCATTATGGAAAATTAAAATTTTATTGTATGTTCTTTTATATACGTTTAGTTAATCAACTGAAAAAAAAGGTGGAGAGTTGAGATATAAAAAAACTAGCTTAATCCCGCCACATTTACATGTGCCTCTTCAATGGTTATCATAGTTTTATTTCTTATAATTTCAAAACCTCTATCGTAATTAAGTATTGCATCTTGTTGTCATATGTTCATGGATGAATATTGCCTCCTTTGAGACCTGGAAAGTTGACCACCGCCCTCCTATCGATGTGTTAGTAGAGTAATTTGTGTTTGAACAGACATTAAAGCAGTTTATCTATGGTTTGAACAAATCAAACAGACATAATATGTCAACAATGTCAAAAATAGGGGTACAGGAGTCAGCATTGTGTTATAATATTAAGCACTATAAAAACAAACAAATATGTAAGCAAAGAAAAACAAAAAGGCATATAGACAAAGCACATTAGCAAAAACGAAAGACAAGAATACAAAAATTTTACATAGCACAATAACACTATGACAGGATGTACCGAGCCACGTCAAATGGATATTACCAAAAAAAGACTAAACAGTAAAAGTAATAATTTAAATAATTTAAAAAGACAAATAAAAGAACACTATAACACGTAGTTAAGATGAAAAACAACGCCAGAACCTAGAATCTATACTTCAAGACCATCGTGTTTTATTTGTGAAATTGATACGGAATAATTATCAACAAGTTCTTGGTATATTCCGATGAACTTTTTTTAGAAAAAGGACGAGACGTTCTTTGGCATAACCCTGGTTCATCAACTTTCTGCTCAGACACGGGTGACGTTTTACAAAGTCTGATTAGCAGCTGCAAGCTCTTGAATACCGAATGAGTTGCGAAATGTATATAAATAAAGGCAGCAGTAGTATACCGGTGTTCAAAAGTCATAAATCGATTGAGAGAAAACAAATTCGGGTTACAAACTAAAACCGAGGGAAACACATCGACTATAAGAGGAAAACAAATGTACAACAGGAACACTGAAGTGCAACAAAAAACAAACTCCAACATACACAGAAACGAACTATTTGATAACAACTGCCATATTTGACTTGGTACAGGACATTTTAAGAAAAAATGGTGGGTTGAACCTGGTTAAATGGCATGCCAAACCTCCCGCTTTTTGACAATGTTAAAAAAAAATTATCGCTAAAATGACAACACTACTTGAAAGAAATACAGCACAAACACACGCAAGAAAATTCATAAAAGAGAAACACACAAACAAATAATATAATAGTCGACACAACATGCAAACCGCAGAACAACAACGAACATATTCCATCAACGACAGACACCACAGGATGTATCCCGTATGCAGGTGAAGTTGGTATATTGCTACTAAGGTGGGGGAAATTAATAATTTCAAAATTAAAATCGTCTCGTTTGTCATAGATTCTGGTACAATGGAACTTAATGATTGGAGAAAGTGTAGATTTGTTAACTAGTCTTTGACCTAGAAAAGTATCCGCCGTAAGTTAGGTGAGCCAATGAAGAACACATTTGGATCATTAGAAAAAACGGTGACGTAATGTGACAGGAGTCAAATGTTCGATGTCATGTGGTACAATGTTTATTTTTACTTGACGGTGAACGTTTGAATTAGTTATTAAAGAAGTTATATGTTTGGGTTTCAAATTACAAATGTTTGCGTTTGAGCGTTCGTGATGCAGGTAAATCCAGAAAAGCGCTTCGGCCTCACGAAATTCATAAAGTGTTATTTTCATTTTCCAGATCTGGATCGACACAATTGGTGGCTGACTGTTATTCCACGAGTAGTCGGTGCTTTGGTCCTGATATGATATATCACATACTTTTCTTAAATGTAGAAATCATTTACAAAGGTTCCAACTGTCTCATGCAAAATTGAACATGGATGAAAATGGCTACCGTTTTAAGGTCTCTTCTGGTCATATAGCTTCTTATTTATTCAGGTGTTTATACATCGTTGGCTTTCAAATGATTGGGTTTGAACATTCCGAATTCATGTTAAACAAAGGCAATAGTAGTATACCGGTGTTCAAAAGTCGTAAATGGATTGAGGGAAAACAAATCCGGGTTACAAACTAAAACCGAGGGAAACACATCAACTATAAGAGAGAGGAAAACAAAGGAACAGCAGGAATACTGAAATGCAACAAAAACAAACGCCAACATACATAGAAACGAACTATTTGATAACAACTGCCATATTCCTGTCTTGGTACAGGACATTTTAAGAAAAAATGGTGGGTTGACCTGGTTTAATGGCTAGCCAAACCTCCCGCTTTATGACAATGTTAAACAATATCGCTAAAATGACAACACTACGTGACAGAAATACAGCACAAACACACACAAGAACATTTATCACAGAGAAACGCATAAACAAATAATATAATAGTCGACACAACATACAAATCGCAGAACAACGGCGAACATATTCCATCAACGACAAACACCACAGGATATCACAAACAATGACGCGCTTACGTACCTAACATGCAATCTCGAACTTTATACAATTATTTTCACAATACTCGTCAAAACAATTTTCATGACAATGATGGTATTGAAAGGCAATTTCATAATTATCTGGACTACAAACGATAAGACATAACACATTATCCAACAAAAACCATCAAACCATCAAACATCAAAAATAAATACATGAATGTTGGATGTACAAAATACCGAGACACGTCCAGAAAAGCGCTTTTGACGCATAATATTTCGTCCTTCTTCTTTGAAACTGCAAGGCCAATTGTTTCCAAACTTTACTTAAATGATCCTCAGTTTATCTAGTTTTATTAAAATGTATCCGGAATTTTGTCCGTCAACAAACATGGCCGCTGTTGCTAAAAATAAAACAGAGATATAGCTCAAAAACTAGATCAGTTGGAGCTAAACAAAGGATTCAAAATTGATCATTATGGACAAGGTCTCGAAAAAAATGCCCTTGAAAGACTCATTTTCTTTTTTGGGTTTTTTTTTTGCAGGAACAATTTTTAGAAAGAAAGAAATTGTGAAAAAGTTAATCGAAATTGTCAATTATGACCGCTTACAGGAGTTATTGTCCTTGAAAGATGGATTTTATGCATTTTTCATTTACTGCAGAAATCATTATAGATTGAGAAAAATTTAAAAACCATTGATGTTTACCTCAATAAAATCTACATATGAGTCAACATGGCTAATAAAATTGTCAATTAACTCCTGTTATGAGTTATTGTCCTTAAAAGATGATTGTTTTTCCATTTGTGTTGTTTTTGCAATAACTATAAATAAACTCATCTTAGATACAATAGATCTAGACATAATAGATAGTGAGAAACAGTAAAAAAACAAAACTGTTCAGCATAGTAAAATCTACAAATCAGTTTTCATGGCACACACTGTCAAGATACTCCTCATAGAAGTTATTTCCCCTGAATGATAATTTTCATTCGTTTTTTAAATAGACACTTGGAAATGCAAAATAAGATCTGCATGTAGTTGAACATCGCTAAAATGTCTCACTAGAAACAGGATTTATAGCATTTAAATTGATTGCAATAAAGAAAGAAATATATGAAAAAGGCATATTTTGTACAAGGTGAGCGATTCAGTTTCTTGAGAGTCACTTGTTTTTTCATTTTTCATAATGGTATCCATGATTAGTGGTTGTTTCAATTGTCAGGACAAGGCCTAGAAATCAGCAATACATGTATTTCCATCCTAAATGTGATATATGAGTATAAATCTAAAATGAGATATTTTTTATACATGTACTTTGCCTCAATGTAGTTTTCATCTTGCTACATGTATTTAAAAAAAAACAGTAATCAACAGTAGAGGTCACCACGCTTGTTTTCAGATTGCTTTCGATTAAAAGAAAACATTAAATTTTCATTACAAAGAAAACTAATCGATAAAATTAGAAATAGGTTATGAGCTGATATGTTTTATTAAAAACGTTCACGAAAGAAAGAAAACCCTTTTCGTTGTTTTTAGCTCACCTGACCTGAAAGGTCAAGTGAGCTTTTCTCATCACTTTGCGTCCGTCGTCCGTCGTCCGTCGTCCGTCGTCCGTAAACTTTTACAAAAATCTTCTCCTCTGAAACTACTGGGCCAAATTTGACCAAACTTGGCCACAATCATCAATGGGGTATCTAGTTTAAAAAATGTGTCCGGTGACCCAGCCAACCAACCAAGATGGCCACCATGGCTAAAAATAGAACATAGGGGTAAAATGTAGATTTTGGCTTATATCTCTGAAACCAAAGCATTTAGAGCAAATCTGACATGGGGTAAAATTGTTTATCAGGTCAAGATCTATCTGCCCTGAAATTTTCAGATGAATCGGACAACCCGTTGTTGGGTTGCTGCCCCTGAATTGGTAATTTTAAGGAAATTTTGCCGTTTTTGGTTATTATCTTGAATATTATTATAGATAGAGATAAACTGTAAACAGCAATAATGTTCAGCAAAGTAAGATCTACAAATAAGTCAACATGACCAAAATGGTCAGTTGACCCCTTAAGGAGTAATTGCCCTTTATAGTCAATTTTTAACCATTTTTCGTAAATTTTTGTAATCTGTTACAAAAATCTTCTCCTCTGAAACTACTTAGACAAATTTAACCAAACTTGTCCACAATCATCATTAGGGTATCTTGTTTAAAAAATGTGTCCGATGACCCCGCCCGTGAACCAAGATGGCCGACATGGCTAAAAAATAGTACATAGGGTAAAATGCAGTTTTTGGCTCATATCTCTGAAACCAAAGCATTTAGAGCAAATCTGATGAGGATAAAATTGTTCTTTGGTCAAGATCTATCTGCCCTGAAATTTTCAGACCAATCAGGCAACCCGTTGTTGGGTTGCTGCCCCTGAATTGGTAATTTTAAGGAAATTTTGCTGTTTTTGGTTATTATCTTGAATATTATTATAGATAGAGATAAACTGTAAACAGCAATAATGTTCAGCAAAGTAAGATCTACAAATAAGTCAACATGACCAAAATGGTCAGTTGACCCCTTAAGGAGTTATTGCCCTTTATAGTCAATTTTTAACCATTTTTCGTAAATTTTTGTAATTTTTTACAAAAATCTTCTCCTCTGAAACTACTAAGACAAATTTAACCAAACTTGTCCACAATCATCATAAGGGTATCTAGTTTAAAAAATGTGTCCGATGACCCCGCCCGCGAACCAAGATGGCCGACATGGCTAAAAATAGTACATAGGGTAAAATGCAGTTTTTGGCTCATATCTCTGAAACCAAAGCATTTAGAGCAAATCTGATGAGGATAAAATTGTTCATTAGGTCAAGATCTATCTGCCCTGAAATTTTCAGACCCTTCAGGCAACACGTTGTTGGGTTGCTGCCCCTGAATTGGTAATTTTAAGAAAATTTTGCAGCTTTTGGTTATTATCTTGAATATTATTATAGATAGAGATAAACTGTAAACGGCAATAATGTACAGCAAAGTTAGACCTACAAATAAGGCAACATGACCAAAATTGTCAATTGACCCCTTAAGGAGTTAATGCCCTTTATAGTCAATTTTTTACAATTTTCATAAATTTTGTAAATTTTTGTAAATTTTTACAAAGTATTTTCCACTGTAACTACCAGGCCAAGTTCATTATAGATAGAGATAATAGTAAGGAGCAAGAATGTTCAGTAAAGTAAGATCTACAAACACATCACCATCACCAAAACACAATTTTGTCATGAATCCATCTGTGTCCTTTGTTTAATATGCACATAGACCAAGGTGAGCGACACAGGCTCTTTAGAGCCTCTAGTTTTTTATTTGCAATATAACAAGTTAAAGAGGAATTTCCCATAATAAATGACATTTTTTTTTCAATAACTTCTCAAAGAAACGAAATAGTTATTCCTCGTAATGAAACGTTCAGATTAATGTTAGTAACTTGACATTATTATAAGAAAATTATGCAAAGTCTGCAGAAACAAAATAAATGTTGTGGGGTTGATAAGTGAATAAAATTTTAAAAAATTAAACATAAATCGGGAATCGTACGGACCAACAAAAAGATAGAAATATCGAAAACTTAAAAACCTTTACAAAACATACAACGGTTACGCTCAAAGATAGAAAGGAGAGACACAATAAGGAACGTGTGAAGTGTCGATCAGAGACTAAAAAACACCCTGATCACATGGAAAAGTCATAAAACATATTTTAACGTTACATTTTAGTCTTATACGATCAGTGACTATATATGACTAATATTAACGTAGTTTCTCTTTACCATAACTTTGAAATGATGGCCTTAGATGTATATGGAAGGACAATTTATTATAAATGTTGGCTTACAATGCGTGTTGTGTAGAAAAAACGTGCAATTGGCGTATCAAATTATAAACCTATAATATTTGGTGAGTTTTTACAATCATTCATCAAATTTATATTAGAGCTGACCAAAAAGTATTCGCTGTTTCGTTAATACTGCCCACACACCACTTTAGACAATTTCGATGACTCATTTTTAATTTTAAGTGATTCGTATAACATCTTCATAAAAAAGGAGGTCGTATACGAAGAAGGACGATATTTCGAATACATAATAGAACATTGATGATATTTTCAGATCTGTAATAAACATTTTAATAGTTCAATAATAAACGGAGAAACAGCAAACAACTTTATTAAAGCCTGGTATTAATCTGTATACGTATATACGATAAATATACATTAGTTTCTGTTACCACACTGTGATACGGGATACCAGTGGGTTTTTTTTTTTGGTGAAAGTGTTGGGAAAAGTTGGGACAAGTACCAATAGAGCAACACATCGGAACCCCAATTGTCAGATATGGGTTGTATCGTTCAAGGGGCAGCCTTGTTATATTACGAAAAGACTGGTCGTGGAAAGTAATAGATGACTTGTGTGGAGAGTATCATGCACTTTAAACACACCTTAAAGATTTCGTAAAAGAATAGGTATACGAGGCCGCTACATGAAGAATCAATTTTCCGTCCGCACCCAACTTTCCATCTGTTTCTTAAAGCAGTCAAAACTTGTTACCTTTTTATGTCTCATCTCACCATTTCTATTCGTTTTCATTTTCTTTTGCACTAAATTTTGTAATTGTTTACCTTGTTTGACGTCGTTATATACAATATAGACATCATTTTTGTCGACCTGATGTCATCTAGCAAAGGTCCTCTATAAATTAATAAGTCACTGACCTGACAATATTAATTTCCTTACAAAACAATACAGTATCCTTAATACAGTACGCTTTAAAATGAAACAGTTTTATATTCAAGTATTTATTTCTTTTCTCGTTATATTTTAAGTAATAAATAATAGAAAACATTGGCATGGTATCTTTTTACGTAGTTCTTTCGTTTAAATATTATAGATTAACACGAATGAAAATACAAATGATATAAATACCGGGCGTATATTGTGTGTTTAAGAATAACCATCATCAGATACGTAAGTGACCAAATTTATAGAAAGCTAAACATTTAGAACGTTTGAGGGCATTAAAAATAAAAGACAAAAGTCAAAACCAAGGAAGGTCGCCTGAGGGGTTTACAGACTTAAATTTACCATAATTTCATTGTTTTATGAACTGGAAATTTACAATATGATTTCCGTCAGCAAACACGTGGTTCTTGAATTATATAACTAACAACATTATCAATCACCATCAACGTGTAGTAACACAATTTCAAGCCATAAGTACATATATAAATCCTCAAATTTAATATAGTCATCACTTCGAAGAAATCCGGCACTTGGTTGACATAAACCAGGCAACCAATTTAATGTTCAAGATGTTACAATTTATAATTATTTACATTTTCACTACTTGTTTGTTTGTATCTTCGTTACCGGTATTTAAGGATAAAGTTACTTTGGAAAAGTTAAAATTGAGAATGGAAATGGGGAATGTGTCAAAGAGACAACAACCCGACCACAGAACAGACAACAGCAGAAGGCCACCAACAGGTCTTCAATGCAGCGAGAAATTCCCGCACCCGGAGGCGTATATCTACATTATATCTACCTGACAGTTATGACAAAGATGGAACCCCATTATACAAGTATTCTAGTGGAGCCATAGAACAGACAACGTATGATCCTGATAATTACATAGTATATGCTGTAGGTAAGTCAATACGTAATCAGGTTTGTGTTTATTTATCTACTAATCATTATTAATATTCTAAACTTAATTAATGATATAATTCGTGTATTTTCCAAATGACATCATTTAAAAATTTACTGTAGAAATGTCGAGAGTTTGTGTCTACAATTTTTGAAAATCCAATATACGTGTATGAAACAGGTGTTAAACAAAATCTGATCTTGTTGTATTCAGAAATAAAAAAGTGTTTTTTTAAAATGTAATTACGGTACCAATTGTACTGCATAAAATGCTGAATTCTTCAATGATGCCCGAGGTAAACTTTTTGAAATATAAAACTTAATACAAGTGACGAAGAGCTAAATAAACCGCTTCTGCTCCATCTTTAGCCATCCTTATACCACTAAAGAATAATTAGAAAGCTTGGAATAACATAAAATGTTTCTCGGTCAGAAAGTATGTCATTAAGCTAGGAAACATTGAAACTCATCAAAGATACTAAACTTATAATTTTTTAAGTCAGGACCGCGTTTCATTTTGTTTGTTGTACTGCAAATTAAATGCAAATTTACCTTATGCAAATTAAGCTCTGATTTCTTGGCCGGCTTTGCTTATATTTTTTTGGTCCTTTTGATTTATGGCTCTTTATTTTTTTGATAAGCTTTGGATTTTTCAAATACTTTTGCCTCGAGCATCACTGAAGAGACATTGATTGTCGAAATGCACATCTGGTGCAGTAAAATTTGTACCGTTTATGTTATCATATCATTTTTTAGAACCTATTAAGAAGAACAAATAAAATAATTTTAGATGTCTTGAAACTCGTTTACCCTGTCGATCAAATAAAATAATTTTAGATGTCTTGATTCAAACTCTTATCTGGAAATTCTGTTCAACCATAGTAACACTGTTTTCTATGCTAAAATATTCAACTTAAAGCAGTAAAATAAAGCATTCTTTACTTTATTTAAGAAAATTTAAAAATCTCAATTCTATTGATTTACAGTTAATCTGTTCGAATATCTTATCTGACCAATACTGAGTAAGGTATTCAAAATAAACCACATCTGCAGTTTTGCAAAGAAACTTTGCGTATGAAAATGTGCTCCGAATCATAAAGTGTATGAATTACTTGGTTGCTATCCTGTTGATATTACTATGAAAGTACGAATGTCTATGGTCTAGACGTTTATAAGAGTTAAGTGTTTTTTCCTGTACTGGTTTGTATTAATGGGTTTCGTCTACAGAAAACTCATAATTGACGCTTGACAAAGTTTAAAAAGGGCAAAAAAAGGACAAAGTTGAAGAGCATTGAAGACACAAAATTCCGAAAAGTTTTGCAAAATACAACTACGGTAATCTATATCTGGGGTAGAAAATCCTTAGTATTTAAAAAAATTATTGAAAACGGTTAACATTAAAATAACAAAAATGCCGAACTCCAAGGAAAATTCAAAACGGAAAGTCCCTCATCAAATGGCAAAATCAAAAGCTCAAACACATCAAAAGAATTGAAAACAACTGTCACATTCCAGACTTGGTACATGCATTTTCTTACGTATAGATTAATTTATAATTATGACCATTTCAATGATAATTCATGTCAACTCAGAAGTGCTGACTTCTTGACTGGTGATACCCTCGGGAAGGAAACCAACCTTCACAAGTTGTGGCATCGAGTGGTTGTACATAAACTTGTCATAGATACAAGGGGAACGGTTCCCAAGAAACTCGTTTACCCTGTCGATCACGTGATTCCCTCAGGTTTTGTATGTTACCTTGATTTGTTTCCTTTAATCTGTTAACGAGATTTGAACATCGGTAAACTACTGTCGCATTTATCTTACCTCGCCACATTTTCAAGTGCGTTTTAGTTCAGGTACTTCGTCAGTGGTTGTCTGATGTCGTATCATCAATGATTTCTTAAGTTTCTTTTGGTGTTGTGTTTTTTGTGTTGTATTTTTCTTTAATTTGGTGTTGATTTCAGATCTGTGTAATAGTTCTGTTTATTTAATTAAAAACAAGAATACACTTAAAAAGATTAAGAATTAGATTTTTTTTTAATTCACATATTGAAAGAGTGCGAAAGATACCAGAGAGACATTCAAACTCATATGTCAAAAATAAACAGACAACGCCAGGGCTAAAAAAGAAAAAGACCAATAGACAAACAATAGTACACAAAACACAACATAGAAAACTAAAGACTGAGCAACACTAACCCCATCAAAAACTGGCTGTGATCTCAGGTGCTCCGGAAGGGTAAGCAGATCCTGCTCCACATGTTGCACCCGTCATGTTGCCCATGTTGTTACAAACCCGGTAATAAGTCTAATTCGGTAGGTCACATTCGGGAATAGGGTACGGGATTGTAGTTACGACATTAGGAACATATCCTTTATCATCTGTAAAACAGATATTCCATAACGGTCAACCAACTCGTGATGGCGTCCGTAAAACTTACGAAGGGATGATTTCAACTTCACCATTTGGAACTCTTAGTCCTCTATCAAGGAAATCATGATAGGAAATACAAGCCCTGGAATATCGTATCAACTGGGAGATATATACTCTGTATGCAGGCGTTGCTGAATAAACATCTGCTTAATATTGAATATTGTTTCTTGCCCTCATAAAGTCTTATAATAGAAAAACAAAGGATATAGGGTATCCATCCATTACACAAAATCAGTACATGCACAGCTTGAAATATACAAAAAGCAAAGGAATAGCGCTTTTATTTCTGTTCTTCATCTCAAAGTCACAGTTAGGCCTTTTGGCGGAATTCTATCTATGAATAGTTTAGGCGTTGGGTTGCTGACTCATTGGCACATACCCTACGTCTTCTTTCATTTCAGATTATATATATATATATATACTTAATAAATGTAGAAAGGCGGAAAATACCAAATGAATTTCTTAAGTTGAACATTATACATGAATGAGGTTGATATCACTCTCCAATGTTCAAAGTTTTGAAAGAAAAAGATAGCCCCGTTCTTCATGGTTAAGTATTAGTGAAGCGAGTACTTAATCATGAAAAAAGAGATTAATATCTTTTCTTACAAAACTTTGAACATTGTAGAGATATTTTTTTTAATAAGACTTTATTCATGACTTATAACAAATAGCTAAACCACATCACCTGTCTAAATGAGCATAGTTCGTAAGTATCCGGTGAAACAAATTACTTCGCAAGCTCAAGTTGGTTATACTCTTCTATGGTATATTATTTGTTCATGAAGATAAATAAAGTATATTCTTATCTCGAGATTCTTGTAAGTTATTAATTAATTAGTATATACTATGGACCAGAGTGAAGAAATGGGTAATTGTCAACCTTAGACAATTTGAATCTCATTAGAAATGTATGGAATGATGTCAAAGTCAGACTTGATGCAACTAACCTGAAACGTAGCAAATTTGAATCAGTACGATTAGGTGTCCGAGTTCGTGACAACCACTGTATCAAATTCCCTTAGAGTTGTTATCTTCAAATTTGGAAAAGAAATTGTTTGGGGATATAAAAATATATGTTTTTGTACAATTGTAGCTCAATGTGAATTACTTAAGTAATAATTACGGCTATTTATTTTTTTGCCATAAGTCAATACAATGTTTAATTGGACACAAATAGCAAAAGTGAGTATTTCAATGTAGTAAATCCTGTATATGTAAATAAAACAAACAATAAGATAATCATTTAATAACTCCATGCTTCGTTTTATTATTCATTATTAGCATGATGACGAGGGTACAAATTCTAGTATTCCATTGGTAGAGAACACTTAATTATTCCTAACATTTATTAAAAGTCTATGTAATTCTTCATTAATAAACTAGCAATAAATTTCATTGTCATAACAACACGTGCTGTTGTATATTAACCATTACTGTCTTTTGTGTGAGTTATGTGTATTGACCTCTTGTACACGTTTGTGTGAGGGGATAATAAAGTATTTGCCCTATATTGTCATCTTGAAACAAACACTTACCACAAATGACAAAGCGGTATAATATATTAACGCCTTAATAGTAACATATTTTAATGATTAATTTTAAAAACACTTTTCATCCTGTTTTTATAAAAATTAACCGTAAAACATATATCATTTTGAATGATGAAAGGAAATGCATGGCTGTGCAAGCAAAGTGTAAAAAAAAATCTTAAAAAGTGTTCTACGGTACAGCTTAAACTGACAAAGGTTGGAATTAAATATTAAAGATATGAGTAGGGTGAAAAAGGTGACGGCGATTTGGTATGTATGCAGTACATGTAACTTGCATACAAGTCAGGTATTTCATTCACGAATAACTTAAGATCTTCACTTAATTATTTCACAGAGACAACGATTTCGTTTGGAAGTTTGGCTGTACATGTAAACTGATTTCAAACGAGAAATCACATCCTGATTTTTATGATTATATTGTCTATAGAGCCCGCAAATGTAAATACGACATGTAAACTTATTGATTTTTTGAACAAACTAATATTCCAATTTAACACTGAAGTCGGATCCTTGAATATTGTCTTTATCGGTAATAACATTGATTTTGGTATTATTAAACAATAAATTTAAACATAACTAAATATGCATAGCGATACAGTTATGAACACGTATGTTCCTACATCCTATCGATTATTATATTATAGCATTGCATATATCATATATAATATTACCATACAGCCAATGCATTACATCCGCACAGAGAAAAGCAATTGCTTATATACAGTAATATAATAATGTTTCATAAGAATCCGTAAACTTGATTGACAGACAACAAACGCAAAGCACTCCCAGATCATATTTTATTTCCGTATAAAATATAACAACTATGACTGCACGTGCATTTCACGTGACAATGTTAAAATAGTGCATTGAAAAATAAAAAGCTTGATATAACTCTTAACTTCATAGTTGTTGCATTAAAATGTAATTACTGGTATAATAGTTGAATGCTTCTTTTTATAATTTCATAGGGTTGTAAAAGCGTCATTTTTAATATGAAGGGTTTCAGTCAACGCTTTCACACCCAAATAAAATTAAAAAAAGAAGCATTTAATTTTAAAAAAAAAAACAAATACAGTGGTGAAGGGCACCATATTGCAAATACAATTTGATATAAAAAAAAAAAACCTAAGCCTGTGGAGTAGGATCTGCTTACCCTTCTGGAGCAACTGAGATAACCCCGTTTTTGGTGTGGTTCGTGTTGTTCAGTCTTCAGTTTTCTATGTTGTGTTTTGAAGACTGTTCTTTGTCTTTCGATCGTTTTGGTGGCTCGATGCAACTAGTGATGCACGTTTCGTCTCCGAGGGCATGACAAGCTTAGCAGTCAGCACGTTTGTGTTATAATAAAATATCATTAAAATCCTCAATTTCTGTAATATGTAATTGCCTTCCAACTATTTTCAGCCACTAATGAGTCTAATATACGAGACGCGAGTCGGGCGCACCAAATAATACGTCTGTTATCTTTTTAAATGAATTTTTACAACTACTTTGTCATTGCTGGCGGATATGTTTTCCTCGAGGGTATCGTCAGCCCGCCGGCATCAAGTTCATGTTGACATGAACTATCATTGATTTGTAAATTTTCTATAAATCTATTGTTAATAAAACGTTGAATTATTCCAAGCACAAAGGTTTTTGGATCCCCTTTACATAGATTGCCTTAGTCGTATTTGGCATAACTTTTCGTTTTTAATGCTCTTCAACTTTAAACGTATTTGTTTTGGCCGTCAATCTGTTTTATTAGAGCGCCCCTGATGAGTATGCATCTGGCGTACCAAATTACAAGCCTGTTGTTTTTTATGAGTTTTTATATCACGCAAATCACTGAACTCAGATTTATCCTTACGGTATCCGTACTGTATTCTAACTAACTGTACTAGTAAAATTCATTGCATTTCTCGACATCATTCGAATTTAAATTCTTGTCTTTTTAGCGATATTTTTTCTAAATTATTTGATAAATTATAGATATGAAGATTGCTTTACTCCTGAAAAGAACATTTTGTGTTTTCTTTCAGGGGGAAATATTCTGCATGTTATTGATGTTGAAAATGTCACATCTCCGAAGATCCTTCATCATATTGCAATTGACGATGTGGATCTCACAGACATTGAATATTGTGGTGGACACGTTTTCGTTTCCATGGATAATGATGCGTTTAAAGCCCAGGGGCGTGTTGTTGTATTTAGCAATTTCTCAACATCAGAGCTGATGGTAGAAAAATATAATATTACAGGTAAAGTTAATGATGTTAAATGGTAACACAAAACATTCTCTTACCTTTTACTTGTTTGACAAAATCAAGAATATTTAAAAATTCCTTCTGATAACTTTGTTATAGATTTGTTGCCCAGAAAAAAAGTAGGTGATCTGTTTTTGTTTCTTTCTTCTTCGTAACTATTTTGACTACATATATAAATTTACTCGATATCGCATTTAACTTTTTCATTTTTATTTTAAACATCCATTTAATTTACACCAGATATTTGCTTTTTGATACTTTCTAGTTGGACCAAGTCCAGATATGCTCAGCCCTACAAAAGACTGCAAGACAATATTAGTAGCTGTGGAAGCTCAGGCCTATCACGATATTGAAACAATTATAGACCCTGAGGGTGGAGTTGGGATCATCAAAATTGAAAATGACAATGCAACGTATAAAATGCTGGATTTCAAAGAATTCAACTCAAAGTAAATATCTTTTGTGTGGATTTGATAATTCAGTGTTGTTCCTCGATATTGTTACTATTAACAAAGAAGTGATGATAATCAATCAAATAGTATGATTTTGTTTTTTTTCATTTTCTATTAACTCTTAAAATTGTTTTGGGCAAATAGTTGTAAAAAAAACACGATTACTTAGATATGAGAAGTTGGTAGATTAGATATTTAAGAATATGTAATCATAAACACCACACTTTTTCTAATATGTAATTATTCTGTCGTCTTTGCTGGACTGCATTTGTGATGGGTTTGGTGGATTGACATTTTACTAACAAACGATATTCCAATGGGTAAAAAATTGTGCTCACCTATTGACCGACGTTTTTCACACCAATAATGAGCAGTAATGATACAAACCCTTCTCAATGATATCCCCACTCCTTCCCCAAAAAACGAAAACCTTATGGCGATTTTTTTTTTTATTATTTTACTTTCACATATTTGATGATGTCCTGTGACTCAATAACCTCTATTTCAGAAAATGCTTAAATATTATATATCCCAATGAAATTGAAATTAAGGATACTGTCCAAACTGGAAGGTTTGTTTCATATTTGGTTTTTTTCTTGACATTGACACAAAAAGAAAACTTTAAGCTTGGATATATGACATACGTGACAATTTCAGCTTTCCAATTGTCAACTTTCGAGTTCTCAGCATTAACATACACTCTGCATCATTGTATGTCGTTTACATGTCTCAATTGATTTGTTACACATGTTCTTGTTCACATAATATGGACTTCATGTTTCTGTTTATTATCTTGAATTGTCTCTTCGTAATCAATTTACGAGATTTTTACATCGGTACTACTATCGCCTTTATTTAACAGGTGTGTGTTCCTGACACACACAAAACTACTGACACATACAAAACTCCTTCTGTAGCCATAGTGTTACGAGAACGGAAGACTGAAACCTACGAATGTTCAGTCTTTCAGTTTTATGATCATCATCACGAATTGGTTGATTGATACGATGAATCTGTGTCTCAACTGTCAAGCTACAAATTTCGCAGTTTAAGATCTTCATATACAAGAATAGTGGTCTGATCTGTTAAATTACCGCTTGTATCGCTATCCCTAGCGATTGTGACTGAAGTTTACGTCTCATGATGGCAAGTTTGCCTGCATAGCAAGAGACGCTTACCCTGTCGGCACACACAAACCGGGTATGTTATTAAAAAATAAGGTTTCACCTCCTTCAGGCAAAGTTGACTAAGAAGGATTATACATCCTTGGCGTTCAAATGTTCAGCTTTGAGCGTTCCTGATGACGGTAAAAATCAGAAAAGCGGTTCTGTCTTTGTAACAGATTTTTTTTTATAATTTACAGATGGTCCAAATTAGAATCTAAGGGATTGCGTTTTATACATAGAGTAAATAACAACAACTTTTCCAACGATGTGGAACCAGAATATATAGCATATAACAAAGATTATTCCAAAGCTTACATTTGTCTTCAGGTAATTCTTTTAATTGATGAAGTTTCAATACATATATAGATTTATGTAATATATAACTTTCGTTACACGAAGTAGGATTTAATTAAAGTTTTTTAGTCAAAGGGCAAAGGTTTTCGACATAACAATCATTAGCTATTACAGGAAATTGTGAAATATTTATGAAAATTGGAATTTTAAAGATTTTGTTCCTAACCAACTGTGCGCATCGCCATGTCGAACTTTTCTTATTTTCATATGAGTCAGGTTTCCTTCAGACACATATACGATGTTTAGTTTAGCTCACGAATTAATCAAAAAGGGCTTGTAATTCGAACTCATAATAAAGAATCATCCGAGGGACGAGCATTGATTGATTTATCATAAGACTTTATGATTTTTAATTTTACTAGTTAAATTGATGTTTTTTTTTCATTTCATACCTTGTTTTGATACGTAATTGTTACGTTTGTTTTATTCAGGAGAATAATGCGATAGCTGTCGTGGACATTGCATCAGAAACCATTGAAGATATATTACCATTAGGTTACAAGTCATGGGAAAAACTTATGATAGACCCAAGTGACAAAGATGGTATGTAATAGCTGATTTGATTAAGATGGTTTTTAACAGTGTTTCACAGTTGTAAAACTCTAGTCCTCGTTTTTTTTTAAGTATGTAAATTATCATTTGATAATAGTTCTCAAAAATAATATTTAGATGATTTCCACTTTCCACTCGTTTCAACTCTTACCTCAATTATGAAAGCTGTTTCTGAACAAAAGTGGTTATGGTATCATCCAGGATTCTGAAATTCTGACAAGAGACAAAATTAAAAGCCGGACAAATTATAAAATGATATACAATTCATAAATTGAAATATTGAGAAACAAGACCCTAAAATTATTCAATATTCTTCAAAATGATTTACTGTGAAAGTACTTTTATCGTGGGTACTAATTTTCGTGGTTTGAACTGAAGTTACATGTTCGTGGGTTCTTAAATTCGTGGATTTTTAATTTTCTGAAGAAGGAAAAAATCAAGAGAAGAATTTGAAGCCATCAAAATCGAAGATTCTTGAAAATAGTTATATGTTTACAAATTGTCTCGATTGAAGGAAATTGTAAAGTAAACATTTTATTGTTGCACATGTGTTTAAACAGAAGTTATTACACTAATTAACCCAAGATTGAATCATCAACAGATTAAGTTACAGATACATAAAAATATCACAAATGTACTTAGAATTGTAGAATAAATCAATTAATATTGATGAAATAATAAACTAAAGCAAGCCCAATAAGAAATTATTTTTTTGTATGAGAATTATGATAGACAAAATGAACACTTCATCATCACATATCATTACCGGAAGTCTGATTTTCTTTGCTCAAAACTAAATTTTCAAAAGAATTAAAAGGTTAATTGTCGAACAGTTTATGTTTTTTTATGATTAAATGGGTAAAATCCTGTCTGAAGTTGGATATATATATTCATAGTGCGTTTGCTGATAGTCGATGTATTCTCTAGATTATATGCCGTATCAGAGACATATACGTCTGATATGTCCCTGGCCGTATCCATTTGGTCAAACATACATGGGTATCTTTCCATGTCATCATTTGGACAACAGTTGTTATATATCGTTGGACACTTAAATTCGTGGATAAAGCCATCCACGAAAACCACGAAAATTGGTACCCCACGAATAAAAGTATTTGACAGTATTACCTCTCTTTAAAAAAATAAACTCATTAAAGATACCCGGCTTATAATCGTGCGTTTCAAATTGACTTTACCTTGATGTTTGAGATATGAATGATCAGCCTTACGACTAATAATGATTTTTCTTATGACATAAAAAACAAAATTTTTACTAGATTTGTTTCTCTGCTTTGAAGGTATAAATATGAGATCCTGGCCAATATATAGCATGTATCAGCCTGATGCAATCCACGTGATATATGTAGCAGGAAAAGGTTACCTAGTGACATCTAATGAAGGTGATTCGAAAGATTATTCAGACTGGGGAGGATTTAACGAAGAAGAACGTGTTCGAGATATCATCTTATCAGGTATTTAATTTCGTTGGAAAATATTAACGTATATATAACGTTATTAATGTAAACTGTTATGAGGGTATATTGAAGAAGGAAAGAGATTTAGCTTTGCAACAGGCCACCTACGGGCCCTTCAAAGTTCTTTAACATGCAAAGAGCGTGGCTCTTCCACAACACGAGGCATTGAATTTAACGTCCCCATTCTAACCGGATGTGGCTGCGAGTTCAGACATCCTGCACAGTCAAATAGACGCCCTCTTTTGCAAAGGATTTACTACCGATTGGAAAAAAACTAAAGTGACAATATTTCTGTACCCAAGTCGCCTTTAGGATTTTTAAACATTGGCGTTAAAGGTTAAAGGCGGTAGGCAAACGAAAGTTTGGTGTTCATAAAAAGGTTCTTTTTATGTAATTGTATTCGTTAGGTAAAGCTCAACAAGATGAACTACAATGCAATGAAAAACAAGCTATTTGATATTTTTGCGCACATACTCAAAATGTTGTTTTTTTATATTTCATACGGTATAATAAATAAGTATTTGGTGTTAAATTGTACACATTTTTTTCAGAAAATTCTCCAATTGTAAAATGGGCTGCAGATCAAAACTTTTCTTCGACTATCCAAGACGATAACATGTTAGGTAAGATATGTTTACTGCTACAATCCAAAAACGAATTACTTTAAATTATTGAAGTCATTGCTTTTTTGCACTTTACGAAATATTTTTAACAATTAGCTTTAGAAAAACAAAAGCTATGGCGATTTCTCTAACAGAAGTATACTATCAATTCAAATTAAAATCAGCAAGTTTATTTAGAAGAACATCTAAAATTATCTATACACATGTGAAAGTTATTACGTATCGGTTTGTCGTAACATTTTCTCATTTTCTCTACCGCTAGATGAATAAACTTTATCATATATCCAACATGTCTGATATATTTTATCTGATATAATTACCAGATTTGTCAGGCTCCTAGTCCTGACAACTAGATATGAATTTGATATCGAATAGGTTGACGGATGACTCCGGGGAAGCAAGACCATTTGGTTTGAACTGGGACTATTATACTAACGGGACTGGAAACTGATCGATCTGTTGAGATTTCATTACCCCGATGGCGGATTATTGATTTTTTGTTTTGATTGACAGCTTAATTAGCCTTTGGTGAATGTAAACAATAGATTTCGGCGAACAAGTCAGCAATAGAATACCGTTAAACAGTTGGACGGCAAACGATTTAATGGCTTCTAAGGTCAAGACATTGGTCAAAAGGTCAGAGTTTACGGTTTTTTGGTAAACGTTCATGCCTCGTGGTTTTTTAACTCGTATCGTCTTATTTGTACTCGTACATTAATAAAAATCCAAGTGTTCATTTTTGAATGAATAAGCTTCATTTTTCTTTATTATTATTATTATTAAAAAGTGTTGTTAAAGTATTCTAAATTCTCGAGTGAAGTGAAACTTTTTTTTCTGAAAAATTGCGTAGGTCTACGGAAAATTCCTGATTATTCCTTAAATAGGTATGGTAACGTGTCGGGGGTATAAAATATGAAGCAAAGCCATTTTTTACATGAAATATTCTTTAAAAGGATATGAAAATACACTCAGTGTTTGTACATGTTGGTTGTTAATAGAACAGTTTTTATAAATATAAATTTCATTCTAAAATTAAGGCTTCAATTAATTAAATTTTTATATGTAAATAAGTATCTAAAATAGAAAGTTGCCTAAATGTCATGAATGAGGTTAAAACACTGACAATTTTGCTAACTTTTACCAAAAATCTCTTTTTTATGACATACATTACAATTTCAGAAAAAGCTGCATAAAGTTATACATGTATCACATATTAAAATGCTAGTTTATATCATCATGATTATCATGATTATTACAATAAGTTGTTATTCAATTAATTAAAAAACATCAATTATTTTTGAATTGATAGCCCAAAATATTAATCTGGAATCAGTACATACATTTGTTTTTTAAACATCTATATACTATTCATTAGCAGAGAATTCATTAGGGAACTTATTAAAATGAAATTTTGCACAAGACAGTCATGGCAGTTCACAATTACAGTGGTAATTATAAACATAATGACACAATTTTATTGTTGACATATGTGAATTGAAATCATTGCAGAATTTTTCTTTCAAATGATTTAATGTTAGTTAGTCACTTAGTACTTTAAATACTTAACCTGTACTAAAATAAAGAGATGTGGTATGATTGCCAATGAGATAACAGACTAAAAACTATCTACCAGAGTCCAAATAATGTGTGTGTCATGTCTGTTAGCAGTTATAAGTCACTTTACAGACATCAACAATGAATACATTTCATTGTTTTCAGGCAGATGAGGAAAAAGAGGAATTATAGCTTTTTAGCTTACTACATAAGAATATAAAAAATATAATAATATAATGATATAAATAAGGAAATAAGAGAGGCATAAAAGACAGGACTACATATAAAGTGGTCCCTTAGTAATCCTTAGAGGAGCTGCTGTATACTTAGAAAAAAGGATGTTGAGGACTTGGTCACATCACACAGCATTTTTAGACACTACATTATGGCCTATTGCAATCTGCCCTATTTGCTCCAACCTATAATGAGTATTAAAATTAATGCCTAGGGTGGGAATTAAACCCATGTATGTTCATATATTCTATTGTTCTCTTTGTACATACATGTATATGAAAAGTATCAAATGCCAAAAAATGCTGTAATGCAAATATGGTAATTTACATCATTACAACCTCATTTTTTTAATAAGGACCTAGTAAAGGACGTCCCTGAACGTAGCTGGACCTATTTCTTAGGCAAGGTGTATTATATAACTCTTGAAAGGATTAAAATGCAATTGTAAAATTAATTTTCTCTAATTCTTCGTCAATTTATCCCTTTCTGCACCCATTGTATAAAAAAAATTTAATCAACGTGTGGTTCGTTTGATCTCAGTTCTTCATTGGTTAAAATCCGATTATGACGTCGAATTTTCTTGCTTTCCTCTGAATTTCCTATGGTGACGGCATAAAAAATGGCGACCATGCCTGATGACGTCACATAGAAACAACACATCTTTTTGCAGATCATTCAAAAAGAAGGTATAAGTTTGCCTGCATATTGTTCGAAAATCATTAGAGAAACAGATTCCACCACCAAATCTCGTGTAATACGATATTTATCCACTCTCGACAGTTAAATTTTAAATATTTAAAACGCTCGGCGAGCCTCGCGTTTTAAATTTGAAAATTTAACTGTCGAGAGTGGATAAATATCGTATCACACTCGATGCAGTGGTAGAATCTATATTTATCTGCTGTTAAACAATAATAACACAATAGTGGTTATTTCTAAGTATTTAGTAACAACAACGTGCAATTTAGGTAAACAAACATCAATGATCGACCACGTGTTTGTCTGTTGTGCTTGAATTCAAAACGACCCATCAGGTTTATTTACACGAACTTTTGCTAAAGCAGACAGTTAAACATGTCTGTTTACCTTAAAAGTTCTATAAAAAATGCATTTGCTGCCATGATTTGTGAATGCATGGAAATATAATGAAGATAATATTGATTTTTTTACCGTAAAATTGAATACACAAACATTCCTCAGCTATACACACAAAACACATCCCACTTTTGTAACGATGGATGGTAACGTATAGCCACTTTATAACAGTAAATGCCATTGGATAAGCTACCCTACACAGTACATAATATGCAAATTAATGATTGGATACAAATTTGTGTCACCTCTCAAATTGATGGAAAAATGTAAACATTGGAATCCGCCATTTTGACGTAGGAAACAAACTAATTTTCAATCTTGGATTAAAGGACATTGCGCACATTGCCACCGTATCATGCATAACCAGTCATGTGCAAATATATCTTTTAATTTGTTTTCTACACTTACTATTCTAAGAAAACAACGTGTCGAAGGTTAACAGATCATAATTAATCCTAATAAAAGCAATAAGTGTGCAATAAAAACAATGTTGGCAATTTCAGTTCATAATTAATCCCTATAACAAAAGGTATCCCGGGTCTCATAAAAATATAGCCACATTGTTTTGAACTTTTCTAAATTTCGTGTTTACACCTAAATTTCAATATGGCAGCAAAAGCTGTGAAAGGGCCTACTTTTGTAGTTCTGATTGTGGAACCTATTGTACATATTTTCACGAAGTCATATGCTTATGCCACCTGAAGACCATTACTTAGCAAAAAAACAACCTGATTTTAATACAAATAATGCACATATAAATAGGAGTAAGCAATTTTATAGGAACAGTATAATTTATTTGAGCCCTGCATGTGGTTTCCGTTTGTAATGAGAATGAGATTTAAATTCCACTTTTCACTTTAAAAAGTGACAATAAAAATAGGCTAATCCAACCTTTAACCTATAAATATGATTTTACAACAAACGGAACTCATGTATCTCTTTTCAATCAACAGTTTTCAGAAATTTTATGAATCATACTTGTATTCACAGCGTCCCCACGCTATCATCATCATGAAAAAAATTCAACCTTTAGATGTCATTTTTTACACTTAAGCCGGGATTTGGTGATTAATAACAACTGTCAAAGATCGAGATATCTTTTATCATTATAGTAATTGTGTTTACATTAAGGATTATAATTTCGAATAACTATAAAAATAAGAACAAATTACAAAGATTATACGATCAAGGCACGCTGTCGCTGTCAAAACAATATGGCGTATCGATAAATCTCGCGCAGGTAAAGTCTCGTTCTAACGACCGTGATGTTGAGTATTATCACACTGATTGGTGTAACGGTTTCCAGTCCCGTTAGTATAATAGTCCCAGGTTTTAATATATAATAATGGTATGATTGCCAATGAGACAACTCTCCACAAGAGACCAAATGACACAGAAATTAGCGACTATAAGTCACCGTATGAAGTTTATATTTGAAATATTAACATTATTGCATAAGTTCTGCAGATTCTGTGACTGAGGTTTGACGAACAATCGAAGTTCTATTGAAGCCATGACGTAACCTTTTTTTCATATTGATCGTCTCTCAGTTAGAACTTATTTGGGTATATTAAGGTAAAAAAAAACCATAATCGAGCTAATTATATTTCGTATCCTTGATTCCACTTCTTAAAAAAGTCAAAACAAACTAATAGTGAGCAAAAACTCAGAGAAAACAAGGAGTGCGAGTCTTTTGGCCTTAACTTTTGTGATATAGACGGCAAAGTAATACTTAACCATTATCATCAATTCTAGGTCGGTTGAAAATAACAAATATGAATGGTAGAAATGATAATGGTACTTATGACGAACTTTATGCGTTTGGAGGAAGAGGTTTCTCCATAAGAAAACTAGAAACAATGGAGCTCGTGTACGATAGTGGCGACCAGTTTGAAAAGCTTCAGCAACAATACATACCTCAATTATTTAACAATAATTGCCGGAAAAGATACAAAACTGTCAACCAGACAATGGATGCTAGATCTGATGACAAGGTATCGTAAACATAATTCGCCGTTTCAGATTACAATGCATTCTGTGTAATATTTTCATAAGTGTACACCAAAACGTCTGGATTGGTTATAAAAGTCCTAACCAACGAAAATGCAACCAATGATGAGACGTTATTTTTATTTTGGGATACGAACTATGAAATTACCCATTGTCCTTTGGATTTTAAAATGGACAATTCTTTAGAAATTGTATCGGTCTTTGTTAGGGCTATTTTAAAAAGGCTTCCTTAAAATTCTGACAGTTCGTTTGTTTCGAAAAAACTAGAACATTAAATTTATCCGTAATAATAAATTGGTTAATGTAATAAGAATAAGCTAAATCCCGATTATAACAAAATTTCAGTATTGAACAGAAGAAAACTTGACGTGAGTAACTTGTGAAGGAGAAGCTTATTTCCTCAGTCTTAACCTCTTCGTTTGAAGTTCATTCGATTCTGACTATTTAAATCCAACGTATGTTTCTATATAATTGGACTGATTTTAACTGACCGAGTTATACTTTTAGTACTATTTATAGTTTTTATACATTAATAACTCAATTTTGAAGGGTCCTGAGAGTGAAAGTCTAGCAGTTGCTCATATTGGTAGTGAACTTTTGATATTCGTGGGAAATGAACGTCCTGGAAGTATATTTATTTATAAGATAACCGATGATGCTTCTAAACCAGAATTTCAAAGTATATGGAACGGTGTTCAAGAAACAGATGGGACATGGGAAGAACTTTATGACAGAGAGATGCTAAGTGAAGTAGACCCTGAAGATATAAGGTTAGTAATGAAAAAAAAATCATTAAGTGAGAGAAATGTTGCAGGTATAGGAAGGAATGGTTTCATTTGAAGATTATTCTTATTGTTTTCATTTAATGGTTGACCCAGAGTATATGTCTAATATCAACTAATTTTGTCGTAACGAACAATGGGATTTCGCAGATCAAAGGCCTTACAATATGTAATATCAACTCTTTTGAAAAACGGTTTTGATTTTTTTTCTAAATTAAAGGCAATCTGGCACACCATTACCCAACCATGCTGGTCTGAAATCAGATGCAAGAAGGGGAATATTCATCATACAGAACTTCTAATTAGTAATGATAATGTTTAGACAATATCCCTCTTGCAAAAGTTAACATCGGGTGGATTTCGCTAGTCTTTTTATGCCCAATATAACTTGTAACTCCTGGTGCATTTAGTTGTATTCCCCATTAAGATAAACAAAAACAATTACTAGTAAAGAAATAAGTGAGCACGCTCACATACCCCACGCCCCTACATTGTCACTGGGCAAACAAAATCTAACCAGGTTCCTAAGTACAAAGACTCATAACTCCTACAAAAGCCAACTGATAAAAATGTCTTGTGGATATGCACATTCACATATTATGTCCTCAATAATTACAAAGTTTCATAAAATTCGGTTGTGTGGTTTCAGAGGAGTTGGGATGACACAATGCTTCAATTATATTTAGGTCAAAATTCCAAGTTCAAATGGGTATAACTCCTAGAAAATAAATTGTATCATAATTTCCTGACGATATTCACATCAACATAGTATGTCCTTATTATTTACAAAGTTTCATAAAATTCTGTATTGGGATTGTAAAGGAGTTGCGATGACAAACTGTTGTAATAGTATATTTAGGCCAAAATTCTAAGTTTAAGCGAGCATAATTCCTAGAAAAGAAAGAGGTTGAATCATAATTTCCTACCTTTATGCACATCTAAATAGTATGTCCTTATTATCTGCAAAGTTTCATGAAGTTCTATTGAGCGGTTTCAAAGTTGTGATGACAAGAATAGGAGTTGACGGACTGACGAATGGACGGATGGACGGGTCAAAAACATTATACCCTACGGAACTTTGTTCTCTGGGGTATTATAATTCAAAATCAGCTACTTTGGTACATTCGATTCTAATGATCGTTTCCTTATTTGTTTTATATCGATCCCTTCTTTAACTCGCAAGTTTTATACCGATGCAACATTAATTGGTTATGCTCTCTTTACCTGTCGCATCTTCTCTCTGTTTTTGTTTTTGTTTTTGTTTTTGTCACTGTCGAATTATATACCTGCTACAGGGCTTTAGGGAACATACAATCTATTTAACTACATTAACTCACATGCACAGTCAGTGAAGTAAGTAATACCTCAACGAAAGAAAGTCAGTACTACAGATCACTGGCCAATAAAGCGAATTATATCAGGGAAATGACACTTTAAACAAATACCGGAAATTGCAGAAACTTCTTACTATGTTGCTTCCAAAACATATGTATGTGCGCTTTTTTTATCCAAAAATTATATTTTTCAGATACATTCCCGCAGATAAAAGTCCAAATAAACAACATATATTAGCAGTTGCTGGATCTGTTAGTGGAACCTTTTCCATGTTTAGAATCAATGGCATTAAAGGTTAGTAGCATTATGGATATTAAAATTGTTACAAGAAATACTACGAATCCAGCGAAACAAAACTTTAAAGACTTCAACAATGGACAAGTTAGTGTACAACATGCCAAACCCTAAATTGCAAGTGTGTGTACATTATGTCAAACCATGAATCACAAGTGTGTGAACATTATGACAAACCCTAAATTACAAATATGTGTACATTATGTCAAACCCTAAATTACAAGTGTGTGAACATTATGTCAAACCCTAAATTACAAATATGTGTACATTATGTCAAACCCTAATTTACAAATATGTGTACATTTTGTCAAACCCTACATTGCAAATATGTGTACATTATGTCAAACCCTAAATAATTACAAATATTTGTACGTAATGTCGAACCCAAAATTGCAAATATATGTACATTGTATCAAACCCTAATTTACAAATATGTGTACATTTTGTCAAACCCTAAATTGCAAATATGTGTACATTATGTCAAACCCTAAATTACAAATATGTGTACATTATTTCAAACCCTAAATTACAAATATGTGTACATTATGTCAAACCCTAATTTACAAATATGTGTCCATTATGTCAAACCCTAATTTACAAATATGTGTCCATTATGTCAAACCCTTAATTGCAAATGTCAAACCCTAAATTGCACCAACAGTTAGTTAACAAATCTAACACATTTTTTATATAGTTTGATAAGGTTATTAACGATGGCATTTTTTTTCATTCTACAATTAATCATTAATTTAAGTAGCAAAACAATAATGTGGGGAGAAGATTAAAGTAACATTAAACTCAAATCAAACAGGCGTCCTTCTACTTTTGATAACATACGAATTGATTATACATAATTTTCTTTCCATCAGTGGGCACCTCCTCCAGACTCCTTTTGCCTCAATTCCATTAGGAGCATGTTTAGTAATACTGCCGTTCTATGTGTAGTAGCTAGCGTATATATATATATATCCAACGCAATCATAGGTTTGAACGTTGTTTTCAATTTAGACTTGTTTATATTTTTTCGTTTGGGCTTGTATTATATTTGCCTTCGGGTTTATATGATCCGTTCATCTAATTTTGACTCTTTCAAAATTCAAGAATCTATCCTAAATTGAGGTAAATTATATATGGCCTTCCCAATTCCGTTTCGATTCCTAACATCACTGAAGAGATATTAATTGTCGAAATCCGGATATGGTGTACAAATTTACCATCTTTACCGCAAGTTCATTGTTTTCTGTTTGGTAATAATTTAATAATAAGATCTGTTTTGTTACATCTTGTGATCCGTTTATTAGGCAATCGCCAATGGCAGTCAGCAGGGTTTAAGAACATCAGTTGTTCGAACTGCTAGTCAAATGCGTTTTGTTAAAATATACTTTTTCACTCATTTGGTCTTTTGGGAAATGTTGTTTGTGCTGTATTTAAACCCCTCTATCAAGAAATTTGTTTTGCATGCACACGTATAAAAATTGCGGTTTTTATCCAACGCAATCATAGGTTTGAACGTTGTTTTCAATTTAGACTTGTTTATATTTTTCGTTTGGGCTAGTATTATATTTGTCTTCGGGTTTATATGATCCGTTCATCTTATTTTGACTCTTTCAAAATTCAAGAATCTATCCTAAATTGAGGTAAATTATATGGCCTTCCCAATACCGTTTCGATTCCTAACATCACTGAAGAGACATTAATTGTCGAAATCCGGATATGGTGTACAAATTTTTGCACCTCATGTTTGCGGTATACCATCTTTACCGCAAGTTCATTGTTTTCTGTTTGGTAATAATTTAATAATAAGATCTGTTTTGTTACATCTTGTGATCCGTTTATTTGGCAATCGCCAATGGCAGTCAGCAGGGTTTAAGAACATCAGTTGTTCGAACTGCTAGTCAAATGCGTTTTGTTAAAATATACTTTTTCACTCATTTGGTCTTTTGGAAAATACAGCACAAACAACATTTTCCAAAAGACCAAAAAAGTGAAAAAGTATATTTTAACAAAACGCATTTGACTAACAGGTCGAACAACAAATGTTCTTAAATCCTGCTGACTGCCATTGGCGATTGCCAAATAAACGGATCACAAGGTGTAATAAATGGATCTTAACTTTAAATTTAATACCAAACAGAAAACAATAAACTTGCGGCGAAGATGGTATACCGCAAACAAGGGTGCAAAGATTTTTTGTACACCATATCCGGATTTCGACAATTAAGGTCTCTTCAGTGATGTTAGGAATCCAAACGGTTATTGGAAGGCCACATAATTTACCTCAATTTGGGATAGACTCTTGAATTTTGAGGAGTCAAAATAGGATGAACGGATCATATAAACCCGAAGGCAAATATAATACAAGCCCAAACGAAAAAATATAAACAAGTCTAAATTGAAAACAACGTTCAAACCTATGATTGCGTTGGATAAAAACCGCAATTTTTATACGTGTGCATGCAAAACAAATTTCTTGTTAGAGGGGTCTAAATACAGCACAAACAGCATTTTCCAAAAGACAAAAAAGTGAAAAAGTATATTTTAACAAAACGCATTTGACTAACAGGTCGAACAACAAATGTTCTTAAATCCTGCTGACTGCCATTGGCGATTGCCAAATAAACGGATCACAAGGTGTAATAAATGGATCTTATATATATATATATATAAGTGCCTAAGAATGTAACTTTAACACACTATTGAGTGTTATAAAATTAGTTGTTATATTTTATATCATTCACGCAATATTCCGCTAAACAAATTAGCTTCATCGGGCGTGTGCATCTCTCGAGGTGAAATCGGATGCATGACAAAAAAATATTTTTGTAGCTTGAACTACACAAAATTTGAGTAAAAGTTTAACAAAATTTATTGATGTTCTATAAAAAATATATGTTTGTAAATTGTCTAGAAAAATACTTTTGCCGCTTATTGTTAGCTTGAACTACACAAAATTTGAGTAAAAGTTTAACAAAATTTATTGATGTTCTATAAAAAATCTATGTTTGTAAATTGTCTAGAAAAATATTTTTGCCGCTTATTGTACAAAGCAATTCTTAAATCAAAACAAATAGTTGTTTTAGTTAAATAGAATGAAGTTCAGGATTTATTCCTTTGGTTTTGGGTAGAACTGTTTTTCATCTCTCTCATTAAGTCCATCAAGTTCAAGAGTACGTAGCTGATGCATCCAGAACCTTTCTCTCTGTTTTCTTCTTTGGGAGTCCCAATATGGGTTTACCTCAATTATTTGAAAGGTGATATTTTCAAAAGTATGCCCTGTTCTTAAGAGGTGTCTCGTAATTGGACAGTTTCTTCCTTTTGTATAAAAAGACCGGTGATTGTTAAGTCTGATATTGAATTTCGTTTCTGTTTCACCAACATACTGCAGCTTGCAAGTTCCACAAGTAAGAATATAAATACTATTTTCCGTTTTGCAATTAGATGTAACATAGATGTTGTATCGCTGCTTTGTTACTGTGCTGCTGAAAGAGTAGTCAGTGTTGGCGACTTTACAGCACTTACAATTGGTTCTTCCGCATTGTTCCCATTGAAATTGATAGGAATACTGTGTGATTATAAAGTCTTGTTGATGATCAGAATTATCATTTTCAACTTGACTTGTATAACTTGTTGATGCACAGATCCTTTTTTTATTTATCTTTTTTTATTTATTTATTTGGGGGAGTCACCTAATAACATAGTGTATTTATCAATCATGATCAAAGACAACATATTGTTCCCAAAGGTTGGGATTTAAAAAATAATTAAACACCACCACATAGTCATGTGTTTTTACAAAAAATGTAGGAACTTTGTCAGTGTGGGTCTTGTCGTAACTCTAAGTCTTTGTTATTTGGAGAATAAAGTATTGCAGATCTTTTATATAATCTCTTAAAAATTCATTCAAAACTTGTATAGAATAGGGATGATTTAGAGCTATACACCTGTCTATTGTTTAAGACTGCATTTTGCCCTATGGTCGTCTTTTGGTAATTTTTGGCGTTGGATTGATGTCTCATTGGCATTTATCCCAATCTTTTTATTTGTAGATTTAATTTGGTAGCAAAAGTGCTCAAAATGATCATACAAATGCTTGTGTTATCTTCATATTGAGAAAACCTAAAAACAAAACAAAAATGTAATATTTGCTGTAAACTACATGTAAAACAAGAATATCATAGCCCGTGACTTTTAAAAATAAGTCGACTTTTACAGCTGTAATCTTTGTATGATGTTGATGCGAGGATTTATCGACCTGAAAGAAGTACGAAGTCCGAGATCAATATACTGTTTAGGTCGATATATCCTCGTATCTGCCTCATACAAAGGCTACAATGGCTATATTCCAAGAAAAATTATAAGTTCATTTGATTGGATGTTACGATTGCGTCACAAAATATTGAGGTTTGTATATTTCTATCTTTAAATATTTTAAAAATAAGTGTGCAATATCACTTTTCTAATCTGCCATTTGAGTCTACCGTTGAAAAAAAACAGTGAAATATGTGACTCTTTCTGAACAAATCAAATTTGTTAGAATACACAAAATAATACTATACTAGGCAAAAAAGAAACATTACATTGGTTTTTAATAAAAAAAAAAAAAAAAATAAAACATACTAGTATATCAATTTCAAATATTTTCAAGATTAAAACAAGTGAATTGAATGATTTATCTATCAAATTTACTCACTTGTAAAAAATCGGAAATGACGTAACGTCATTTTCTTATTTCAATCAAATAAGCATTGTTCCAAAAAAATACCTGTATAGAGATGGAATCGAGTTGTCCTTTTGGAAGAAATAAAAATAGAATATCTGCCCACACAGTTCGTTAACGATTGCGTCAAGTTGGTCTAAGAGCACGTCGTCCATTGAAGGGACCTGTTATTACGCAGCGTCACAGGGTGGCGCGAATTCAATGGACTCATATATACGGATTAGATGGAAAAGGCTAACATGGAGACAGGTTCTTTTTATCGATGAATCGAAATTCAACTTAAAATTTAGCGACGGCAGAGCCAGGGTCTACCGGAGGTGCAATGAACGTTTTTCTAATGCGTGCGTACAGAAAACAGTATGGGGTGGAATAACCTACCTGGGACGCACCGAGCTCAAAATCATTGATTGGAACCTAAATGCAACAAGGTATAGGGACGAAATTTTGGCTCCAGTTGTTCTCCCCTTTCTCCGAAGGCTTCGCTTTAACCACGTTTTTAGCAGTACAACGCCCGTTGTCACGTGACACACATTTCGGTGAACTTTTTGGAGAATAATCACATTCGTGTGTTTGCCATGGCCAGCAATGTCTCAAGATTTATCGCCAATCAAACATCTTTCAAACAAACTTGGACGACATTTCAGAAATAGCCAAAATCCACCGAAAACGCTCGCCCAGCTCCGAACAGCACTTTTCAGGGAATGGAACATTATCCCTCAAGACTTTATTCGACATCTAATTGATTCGATGCGACGGAGGTGTCCGGCGGTCATAAATGCAAGAGGTGGTCATACACGGTATTGACATGTTATCTTGAATTTTGTACTCGACTTGTTAAAATTGTCCGAAAATGTTCCATATTGTTTCAAATAGAGAAAATTTGTCATTGTTCTCTTCAAAATGATGTACACTAACTATTCCATTAACTTATTTTTATCATTTTTTTGTTATAAAAATATAAATGATCTTACAAACATGTAACGTTTCTTTATTTTTTGCCTAGTATATAAACGTATATCATAAAATAGATAACAACATTTTTAGGACAACTTTTAATTCATCTTGTAAAAACCATATCTGAATATAACTAGAACTTTTCAAATCGCCATTTTATTGCATAAGTTTTGACGGTACATCACCTGCATGTTAGTAAGGCAGATGTAACACCCCCGTCTTCGGAAACTTGATGCTTTCAATCCAGAAGCATTTACGACAAATTTCATAACTGTTTGCAAATTGCAATAATCGACTTACTCACTTTTCTTATTGGTTTTTTTTTATTATTAAAAAGAGTCGTAGAAGATGAAGGGTCGTAGGAGATTATTTAGCAGGGAGGAAAATTACGACACATCAATGGAGCAGGAACGTCAATGTTACTACAAATTCTATAACTTTTACATCGCGTATTGATGATATGAAGATGACATGCATTTTATTTTATTATGTCAATTATATTCAAGTCTGCGTGAATGTTTGATAAAACCATTCTATTGTTGTAAGCCACCTGTTTATAAAGTTTTACAATTATTCAGCACTACTAATGTTAAGACTTGTGCAACTTAGGGAAATTTCATTACTTTGAGTTGATTTTTATTTCATTTGTTATGTGTCTTTAATTGCTATTTGGAATCATATTGATATGTTCTGTCTGTTTTGTCCTGATCTTTTATTTCTGTAATACGTATTTACTAACTATATCTATATTTTGTAAAACATTTGGTTAATAAAGAATTGCATTTGTAAGCACACACTGGACTTATTTTATTATGTACCTCCAACTTGATAGCTTTTAACAAACGTAATTTAGTTAATAAATAATGATGGTGTATTACATCAGAACATCGAAAACATCTCCTTTTTATCATATTGAGCACCAACCAGCACCAACCAGCACACCAGAAAACAAGTAAAAAACAATACTACTTCAATAAGTTGCATGACTTGTTTTTAAATTCTCATCAATATAACAAGAGTTAAATGTAAAGCTTAAAGCGGCTTTAAACTGATGAGTAATTGTTCTGTTTAGACTTTTATTAAAAGTTTTAAAAACATTCTAAATGCTGAGAAGATCAACCCAACAACACCGTGTAGAACGCCACATGCGGGGTGTTGGCTATGTTTGACACGGGGTGGCGGTTTTGAAGCGGAGAAAAAGCCATGAAGGTAAGTAAAAGTATCAAAAATTCTTTTTTGAAAATTTTTAGCAACAAATAATGTATTGCACGGAATGAACCGAATCATAATCTATTTTCAGCAGGCAGAAGCAAACGTTTCCAGTGCTTCGTTTTCTCAAACACTTCTCCACCAGTTTGGTCAGATCAGATGCAGAGAGCATATTGAGAATTCTAATTTCCACTCCACTTTTTGTTAACCACCTAACTCTCAGAATATTTCATAAAAGCAAATCTCACTTAAATTGCTGAATCTCGAAGACTGCAAAAAAGTTACTTCTAACACTAAATTAGGACAATTTTCACATTTGTGACCGATTGGGAATTTTTCGTTTCTATGTAGTAACATTTCAGCAGCACTTCCATCTCATACGATGTTCCAGAGTTTGTGTTTCCTATCATGATATCCTTTACAGGCGGTAGATTCTTACAAGGAAACTATTAAACAAAGGGTTCCAAGTGATTAATTTCAAGTCATTCCTTCGAAAGTTTTAAGGACGCCATCACAATTTAATTGACCGTGATGAAATATCAGTGTCACCGATGACCACGGATAATATGTTCCAATTCCTGCCGTAAAAATAATCCTATCCTTTTACTCGATTGAGACATCGCCGAATGACACTTATGACGGGTTCCACTAGTGAAGGGTGCCTACGCTTCCGAAGCAACCGAGATCACGCCAATTCTTGGTTTATTTCGTGTTTCTCAGTCTCCAGTTTCTAAGTAGTGTTTTGTGGACTCTTTTCGTCGTCTTTCGGTTCTTGCATGGCTTTGTCAGTTTCTCTTCTACTTATGAGTTTTGAATGTCCCCTTGGTATTATCCGTCTATTTTTTTTTTCACAAAATGTCTTTCGTTTCGTGACGTCGCATAATTTTAGACACACAATAAAGGTCAACAACCATAATGCATTTATATGCAACTTTCGCTCTTACACAGTTAAAAAAATCGTAGTTAAATCAACAATAAATACAACCGCAGCCTAATAAACATGCACTAGAACAAAAAAAACCATCTAGTTATGACAAATTAGTTCAACTTAACAGAAAACCATCAAAGTGGCGGTTAAAAGGCGGTAGTTGTGAATAACCAAGAATAAATTTATTCCTACAATTAAGGAAGTCTTTTAGGAGGTAGTTCAATAATCAAATATTACTGTAAGAAATGCATTTTCCTCTGAATCTCCTAATCCACAATCAGACAAAAACTTTCTTTACACAGAGAAAAGCTAAGTAAACTTAATTAGGCTTTTAAATTAGTTCCTACAAATTCATCTTATAAATTGATCTCTGAATAACCATGATTGCTACTAATATACAAAATAGCATTAAAACGCGGTGACAAACTGAAGAACATACACCCCCTGTTTTTTCCCACAAGACAAGAGACTCTCGTCCATAAATATATGTTTACTCCAAGCAAACCACACTAAATTACAAAAGGACACTTCCGCTCAAACATGGTTTCAGAAAAGAACGGTCTTGTGAATTCCTACTAATTCTCACAATTCAGGACCTGGCAAAAAAACATCGACAATAAAGAGCAACTAGATCTTATCCTCTTAGACTTTTCAAAGGCTTTTGTCAAAGTCCCATATGAGCGACTATTGTATATAATCGACCGTTATGACGTAAGAGGGACAACATTAAAATGGCAGAGAAACTGTCTGGAAGACAGACAGCAGTGCGTACTCCTGGAGGGAGAATCTTCAGAAAAATTGCCAGTGCAGTTGCGAGTCCCACAAGGTAGTTGCTTGGTCCGCTGATGTTTCTTATTTTTATAAATGACCTCCCAGAGTATGCGTCATCATCAAATGTTAGACTCTTCGCAGACGACTGTGTTCACTACCACCAAATAAGAAACGAAAGAGATGCGAACAACCTTCACAACGACCTGAATGGATTGCAACAATGGGAGGCAGACTGGTAGATGGAATTCCACTCTCAAAAATATCAACCCCTAAGAGTAACAACAAAGCGGAACATAGTAAAGGTAAACTACAACAACCTTGATTTTAATGTTACTTTAAAGAAGCACAGTTTCACTGTAGATAATTCTCACATACCCGCACATTTGTTGTTCTCCCATCGAATATGTACATAAAACAGAACGATAATACTCCCAGGGGAGGACTGTACTATAAAGGAGAAAAAGAGTAAAATAGATCTCCGATTTCGTTATGCTCATGGTCTGGCTGTGGCTTAAGATCTTAAAATTATGTTGATTATGTTATGTTGATTATGTTATGTTGATTATGTTCATATCTATATATGATTATCAAATTATTTGTGTCAAATATAAAAATCATTGTAATAAATTATTTTCCTTTTCGTGGGCCCTTCAATTGGAATAAAAATATCTTATCTCATCTTATCTTATGAGCTGCAACAAATAAATTAATCGAGTTACGATAGATCTGAATTTTAATCAGGTTGAATGTGAAAAAAGATCACACGGTGTAGAATGCTCACATGAAGTCAATTTATATCAAATTTCAGGACAGTGCTCACATGAAGTCATTTTATATCAAATTTCAGGACAGTGCTCACATGAAGGCACTTTAAACCAAATTTCAGGACAGTGCTCACATGAAGTCACTTTATATCAAATTTGAGGACAGTGCTCACATGAAGTCACTTTAAACTAGGGATGGCAACTCGGTGAAGATTTACTAATCGAGTACTCGTTGGATTTACTGAGCGATACTCGAGTACTCGCTCGGAAAAACATCTACAAAATGGAAACACAAAATTATACCCATTTTACGTATTGTGGGACGTTGTCTTATGGACGTAAACCCTCAACATTATTACCCAGGACTAGATAATAGTCCTAGGACATTTATACCATATACTAGTTATGTAAGTTGGCAATGATCTAATCAATTAATTAATAAACATCTATAGAAAAAAAGATTACCCAAACAATAGTAATTGGGAATCCTAAAAAAACACATTAATGATCAACAAAGGGTGATAATTAGAACTTACTGATGCCTTTAACCATTTTCTGAGGGTCGACACAGGGTGCAAAGAAAAGTTGTTCTTATTAAGTAATATTATCTTGTTAGCTTTTTCTGTGACGAGTCGATTCTCAACTTTGTTACGTAACTAAAAGTCCTGCTAATAAAAATATTTGCTCTGACGGTACAGAGGTAGTTTAATGACTCAGACACGCTACGCTAAAAGTGTAAGTCTTGGAAAGGTGCTCTTGTTCATAGTCCACCTATGATTGGAGGAATTTTAAATGACAATTAAACGCAAACATTCGAAACGTATTTTAATTTTGATTAATAATGATTAATATTAAATTTCCCGGGAGGTGCTCTTAATAAAATATTATTTCTTTAAGAAGGCAACAACATTCTTTTAGGAAACCGATTAGTCGAGTATCATTTTGGTATTCGATACTCGGCACTACCGAGCGATACTCGAGTACTCGAGTACTCGTTTAAATCCCTACTGTAAACCAAATTTCAGGACAGTGCTCACATGAAGTCACTTTATATCAAATTTCAGGACAGTGCTCACATGAAGGCACTTTAAACCAAATTTCAGGACACTCTTATAGATGTCCATAATGTATAAGAATGGATAAGTCATCGGTTAACATGAAGTTGATATATAAGTGATAAATGAAAAAAAGGTATTAGACGACATTGCACGCTCACATTTAAAAGCTTGATCCCAAATTAAGGAAGCTTTCATTTGTAGTTCCTGAAAAAATGCAACCAAACTTTCGTGTGACGGACGGATAGAGGTAAACAAATATATCCCTCTTTTGGAACTGGGTAATAAAATTGAATTACAACCAATGTTCAATGATACAGTGGTGCTTACGTCATAGACAGTTTAATCGTGCAATAAATAAATAAGTAACACCATCTAAATCAAATACAAAACATTTTTTTTTATATCCCACTGACCTACCTGAAAAATTCAACAACATAATAATGATAAATGCTCTATCCTTAGAGTAGGAGAAAAATGAATAAACTTTTAAAGTCAATGTCTTTTCCCTAATTCAAACACATAGGTTTTTTATATTACTTGTGATTCTGAGCTAAATTCACATCTTTAAAATTAGGAGTTAGTTTCATTAAACTGAAAGGAATACTAGTTAAAGATGGTAAAGAGATCTATTTTAAATAACACTGCGGGATGATACGTTCTTATCAATTTCGAGAAATTTTGGGAATTGCATTTTGATTTTTAACGAAAAACTTGAATTACCAAGTAAAAAGCGCATATATACTACTACCACGACTACTAGACAAAACCAAAACTTGACATGACATGATACAAACCGAATAACATAATAAAATAAAATCCCTTACACAGCAAAATGGTAAATGCACTATTGTTTTCTACACAGAAATTACATCCCAGTACAATTGATTATGCATACCGATAGTCGTTTATATTTTCACGTCCTACTCTCAACGGGATTTCATGATTTTTTAACATTTCCTCACTTTTTATTTCCCTGAATCCTAACCGTTGGTACACAGGCCTACATGACCGATCAATAATTCGAGCTTTTGGCATATCAATCTTTGACCGCCATGCATCTGCTTGTTTTGAGGAATTAGATTTTACTGTACATAAATTCCCACAATTCCCGGATTTTCCAGACATTGTAATATTGAAAACATACTTTTCCACTTCCGGTGTGTAACTTATACCTGTGAATTTGTACAATTCTTTTGACATTTCTAAAGGATTTTTAGCAAGATCTTCATAGAAAAATGTAAAAACTCTTTCCGGATACTTATTTGATAATATATCAATAGTTACGAGATCCCTGTATATTCTAGAACAAAAATCTATAACATTTGTCACAAACGATTTTAATGTTATCACTCCAAATTTCATTTGGGATAAAACTGTTGCCCGTGGGTCCCTAATTAGATGAATAATTTTCATAGACGGGAATTCCTTCATCAATGGTTCCAACTGATCGACTGGAAGACGAATTATTTTCAGCACCACGTATTTTGTCTGTATGCATACTTGTTTTAACATGTTAACACAACTATATATCGTTTCGTTTTCAGGTAGCATGTTTGATTCAAAAATTTTGCAAGCACCATATAGTTTTGCTTTTTTGCTTTTAGAAAGAAATCCATCGCTCCAGGTAACGTACGGAAGACCAAATAAACTGCATGTTGTCCAGTTTCTTATAATATCTCTTCCGGCATCAAGGAAACTATTATATAACCTATAAATATAAAATAATATATAAAAAAAAATCAACATACAGAAGGGTCTAGATTTGGTGGGGGAGGGGTCCTACATTTCTGTACTCTTTAATTTTTAAGGGTTTTTTTCTGTATTCTTTAATTTTTAAGGTTTTTTTTTCTTTATTCTTTATATTTTTTGTTAATTATTCTCTATTCTTTATGTATTAACAACCCATTATTGCTATTCTTTTTTTCGGGGGGTGGGGGTTGCTATTCTTTTTTTCGGGGGTGGGGGTTGCTATTTTTCTTTATTTTTTTCCCTCCATTTTTCTTAAATAGTGGTTCATTATTTTCTATTCTGTTAACACAATCAAGACCCTCATACAGGCATTTTTAGCAGCAAATTTTCCGGAATGAATACGATGTATTGACGATTGATGGTGAGTATAATGTATTGACGATTGATGGTGAGTATAATGTATTGACGATTGATGGTGAGTATAATGTATTGACGATTGATGGTGAGCATGATGTATTGACGATTGATGGTGAGTATAATATATTGACGATTGATGGTGAGTATATGTTAGTTATTTACCTGATTTGGTCTATTATTCCTTATTTAAAGTTAATACGAACTGAACTCGACCTCTAATATGTCCTGACTCTTTTGCATTGGCATGCATTAATAACCTGCATTTTCAGCATTGAAATTTCTTTGTCAAATGGTATGTTTGTGATTTCTACACAAAAGTTATATTAAATTATATAATGTAATTATGTAAACGAGACTAAATCTCCATTAACACAACAAAACCAAAATAACATCTACAAGTCAATTCACAGATACACTAATCTCTATATAGCCAAAATCTAGGCAATTTCTGAAGAAACACAGGGATACACTAATCTCAAAATAGTCTAAGTCCAGGCAAGTTCTAAAGGAATTCATCAGAGATTTCCAAAATTTGCGATTAGAAACAATTAAATTAATGTTCAAAATAACATCTACATGTAAATACAGATACATTAATCTCTAAAATGCCAAAGTCCAAACATTTCTGAAGGATTTCACGGATACATTAATCTCTAAAAACCCAATGCAGTCTAGACAAATTCAGTATGAGCAGAAGGATACATTAATCTCAACATAGTCGAAGTCCAGACAAATTGTGAAGCAACACACGGATACATTTATATCTAAATAGCCAAAGTCCTCACAAATTCTGAAGGAATTCACCAGAGATTTCCAAAATTTGACACTAGAGACCAATATATTTAATATTAAATTAAAAACATATGGTATGAATGCTAGTTTTTGCTAACACAAAGATATACACAAAGACATTCATATGTTAGGTTCCTTACTTGAGACAGAAATACTTTTATCATTTGACAAGGTTGGACTACTGTTTGTGCGTTTTCAAAACACCTCCATCTATTTTTAAACAATTTTAATTGAGAAGCGGCATATGTAAAAAGAGTGCATAAATTATTTTTATTTGTATACGCGTTATTGTGACGAAGTGTGTCTATTATGACGGTTTCATTGAGTTTAATGATTTTTCTGAATTAGGAAGAGTTGGTAGTGTGTATTTTTTTTACGTATAGTTCTGGTCGTTGCATAATCTTACCTTTCATTTCCGTCAAGGCTATAATAGGGCTGCTGCTTCCTTAGTTTAAACTGTGGAAGTCTGAGTGGTTCAAACAAATAAAATACATCTTTACTCTGTTGTAATATATCTCCGACAAGAGATGAACCACTTCTCATATAGGTTAATATAACAATTGGTGTTGGATGTAAATGATTGTCAGTTTCTGAAATATATGCATATGATACCTTTTAATTGTGTTTACTGAATAAAGGTAGATTGTTTGTCTACCCTCATCTTGTATTGTAAAATAGAAGACAACAATCGGTAAATATCGTTAATGAAATATGCACTTTTTCAGACAGGAATGCAATTCATTTGTAAGACTTTTTATTTGAATGAAGAAAATTATGTGTTTTATCTTATTATTTCGATTGCTTTTACAAATACAGAATATTTTTTGGTTTGAGGCAAATATTTTTAACTCAGTTATATAAGGGGAGATAGATCCGATAAGCTTATTTTATAAAGGAATGTACAGTAAATTTATCTAGTATTTTGTTTTGTAGAAAAATGAATTCGATTACCTCAGTTTTTCTTTTAATTTTCTAAAAACAGATTATAAGAGTTATCTTCTCATATTTTATTTTGAAATTCTATTGTAACCTATTTTTCTATTTATCTTCTTTTTGAATATTTTCGCATCTGTATTTCAATCATATTCTGCAATTGTTCAACTTAAGCTAGATGTTTTACTCATCCCGTTTATATATTGATTATCTGCACGCAACCATCGACAACTTTATAGCCACGTATCATTGGTGACAGAAAGGTAAGGAATGCAATTGGAGAAAATAAGTGCTTCCACTAATAATCTAATTAAAATATAGATCTTTGATTTCGTTATGATCATAAAACGAGTACGCCAGTTACGATCGATCTGAATTTTAATCAGATTGTCCCATTAATATATTAAGATAGCAACATATAAATTGCAAGTATCTTTTTTGTGTATTATTCAGCCGTTTTTTCCATTATCTATCATCCTTTTTTACCAAATTCCGTGCACCCATAATCAATATAAAGCTAATACAGCACCAAGCACCAAATTATAATATATTATTTGGTGAAAAAAGTTTACGTATGCTTCCGTTTCATTCAGGATTTAGTTAATCATCTTTACTTTGTTGACATGTACAGGATATTCATTAGCCTTACTTGGATTAGGAAAACATGAAACAATAGCAGTTTTCTATATTACAAAAACTACTTAATTCATATATAATTTTACACAATAAACACAAACACAAAACACAAAATAATCCAAACAAAAAGCCACGAAATATTTTTTTTAAAAAGAGAAAAAAGTAAAAGAGAAAGCCGGCGTAATTTTATAAAGGGCTCTTTTTTTGTAAAAATTAAATAACATCACTCACAGATACACAAATATCTCCAAATAAGGCTATGAAGTACTAAATGAAATATTGACGAAGACATTCAGTTGTACATACCTCCAATTCAGATATGAGAGTACATACTAGTTTTTCTGTGCTCTGCTTTTGCGAAGCATACAAAGATAAACGGTTCTTTTGACCTATAATAGTCTAATTGTGTTTTGTGTATATGTACACTATGGTTCTGAAGATTGTGTGTTGTGTATATGCACACTATGGTTCTGAAGATTTTGGTAAAATATCAGCATGTTTGAAAGTTTGAAAATAATCAACGTTGCATGTTTAAAGGCAACAAGAATTGGTAAATTTTAGCAATTTAGACCAACTTTAGAAAAAAAGATATAGCAAAATAATATTTAATTGTTTGACAAAGTATGTCAGATACGAAAACAGGTTGTTATAAGCTAGTAATACCAGTGGCTTAATTAGGAGTAGACTGGAAAGTGGGAGGGGCAAACTTCTTAAAGTTACAACAAAAATTATATCTAGTTTAACATAGTAGTTTGTCAGTGTCCTCTATCATTTTCATAAAATATTTTATCAATTTTTTGGCCAAAAGAAATCAATCATATATCAGTTATGGAATATTCATTGCATTTTAGTCGTTAGTGTTATCTACATTCGACATCAATAAAACAGTGTTTAATCACTACAATTATGTTAATGCCGATACAACGTCAACCACTGTAGTGAATACACCAAAGATATTGGTTAATACAATGCCTGGAGACTTATATCGCCAACCACTAATGAATACGCTAAAGATATTGGTTTATATTATTAATCAAATATTTTTAAGGATTTGTGATTCGTTAAAACTTGATCACATGTACATTTGTATTTACTCAGTTTGCACGCCAATACTGTTGTGTTTAGCTTTGCGTAGGTCAAAAACAGCATATTGCACAGGGCATACAGCATGTTACTAAAAATACATTCTAGAAATTCTAAATTTTTCATTGTTCATTCAATAGTTGTTGATTAATAATTTAACAATTGTAGCCTTTGGTTGAGGTCAATACGATGTTATATCGAACTAGAGAAGTATATCGACCTCGGACTTCGTCTTCAGTCAATATGCTTCTCTTATGTCAGTATAACCTCGTATCGACCTCATTTAAAGGCTATAATTGTATACTACAAGGCATGGATACTGTATATCGCCAACCACTAGTGCATACGCCAAAGATATGGGTTTATGCAAGGCCTGGATACTGTATATCATCTACCCGTGAATACGCCATTTATTGGTTTATACAAGGCATGGATACTGCATATCGTCAATCACTAGTGAATACGCCAAAGGTATTGGTTTATACAAGGCCCGGATACTGTATATCTATCGTCAACCACTGGTGAATACGCCAAAGATATTGGTTTATACAAGGCCTGGATACTGTATATCATCTACCAACGATCTATAGACTTTATTATGGTTAAGCGACACGAGTTATATATATAGAGAATATTATATGGCTTTTTCAATATCACATCCGTATCAACCCGAGTTACCAATATAATCCCAAGAGCTCTGCTCGAGGGATTATATTGGTTGAGGGTTGATACGGTGTGTGATATACACCTTATCGCTATTTAGTCCAATCCGGAAAAAACAGTCATTTAGACAACTTCCTGTTTGGGTCAACAGGCCGCAAACAAAGGTCATCAGTAACGAGCTGAGGGAGGGAACAATTTAGAAAGCGATCAATAGGAAACTTTGATAGATTATGATCCACTTTTTCCAAACTCAAATTAAAGTCAAAAAAATATTGTGTTTGAAGTATTTACGATGTTTTAAACAGGTCTCATTAAAAAGTATCATGCATGGTGCATTGTTTAAACAGGGTCCCAGATAACGTCAACTGGATGAAAAAGTTGTGTAATTTTAGAACTTATCCGGAATGGAATAAATAGCGATTAGGTGTATTGAAAAAGCCATATCATATACATTTTAATATGAGGCAGGCATTACCTGTGAAAGGGGACGAAGTCTATATAAATTATTTTTTTTAATTCAAACATATTTTAACTTCAAAATCTGTTAAAAAAGAAACGGAAATACCGTAACGTTTCCGATTTTGGTTCCGGTTGTTAGGGATTTTAGTTGTGACGTTATTTTAGTTATGACGTCATATTCAATGTAAACAAAGAAACGCTATCATCAGGTAACGTTTTTTCATATCAAAGAATAATTAGAAATGAAATTGTTATTGTGTTCCTTCCTATATTTTACTGGACTGATAAATATATATTTCACTCAAAGTCTCATGACAAACGAGACCGGAAGAAGGAAGTAGATTTCTGCGCAAATGCGGGAATTAAAAAAAGTTACAAAAAAAAAGTTAACGATTTTGAGTTCATTAGTACAATGAAAATTTCGGGAAATTTTCCCGATTTTTTTTTTTTTTTTTTTTTTTTTTTTTTATTGACTTTTCTACTGTAATAGGGGACTTCGTCCCCTTATTATATACATGTACCTCACGTAGATGTTTTTTATGTGACATGACGTCATACATATAAGGGGATTTGGAATGACGTCATACAGTTAGAGGTTTGAAATGACGTCATACAGGTTAGGGGTTTGATAAAGCTTTTGCAACAGTGACTGCAATCGATGACGTGACGTCATCCAGATTAAAGGTGTGATAAAGCCTTTGCAACCGTGCTGATATCGATATCAGCACGGGTGGCTGATACAGCACGCTTGCCAATGACTGTATTACACATACAATTTATCTGTATTTACTACTAAGTATATAATAAAGATATATATTAATTTTTAATGATAAAAGTAACATAAATAACATTTCGATTTCAAATGCAGCACTCAGTCAGCTATGTTAGCATTTATCCAATGTCGACTCAACCTCTGTTGTCATATTTATAAACATTTTCATATGTTTTACATCATTTACCGAGTTCAGCTATGAACAGAAAAATAAAATCATGTGAAAAAAATTCTTTATAGTTTTTTTTTTTTTTTTTTTTAATTTTTTTCCAATTTTTACCATCAGTTTTAAAATATTGGTCACATTTCACACCATGAATGAACTCAGTCACTTCAAGATTTTTTTTCCAGTGCATATGAAAGCATTATGAGATTAAATATTTTATTAAATTTTACATACAGTGTTCGCCATCTTGACTTATTTTCAGAGTTTGTTCATAGTTAAATAGAACCAAATGTCAATATATGATACTTAATATTTATGTTAATTGTCATGCTTTTATCATCAAACTCACATTTTCAGTTGCGTAGACTGAAAAATGTGGGAGGGGACTAACTTCTGAAAGTGACAAGCAGAAAAAAAGAAGTTAGTCAGTGTCCTCTTTCATTTTCATTTATTATTTTTGATAATATTTGTGTGGGGTGGTGGGGGGAGAGGATAACCATAGTCCTCCCTCCCGATGCCTACGTCCCTGATTTCATATCAATTAATCTTATTTTATGGTATTTACCTGATGACTCTTCTAACCGTATAGTCTCCTTCTTATTAGATTGGTCTGTCATGAACCAAACTGCTGTAAAATACAAGCTTATTCAATAGAAATAACGCTAACGCAAATATCGTTTTTTTTTTTGCTATAAATCAAAACACAAAGCTTTTCATCAGAATAAATGCATTATGTACAGCTATCACTGAATGATATGACATGGTTTGTTTCAATGATTATTTAGATCTCAAAGAAAGACACCTTCGCGTGGCTGTTCTTATGTATTTAAAAATTTATAGCGCAATAATAAAATAAAATAAAATAATTATGCCAAAAATCTTTTGTATCAGATTAATGTTATGATTTACTGTTGAGTGTAGTTTTACCAATATTACCCCGGTTTTTAGTGGGGTTCGTTTTGATCAGTCTTTAGCTTTCTATGAAATGTTTTGTACACTTGTTTGTCTTTTGGTCTTTTTCGTTTTTGGCCATGGCGTTGTCAGTTTATTTTTGACTTGTGAGTTTAACTGTCCTTCTGGTTTCTTTCGCTTCTCTTTTTCGAGCGTTTGAAATGAAATACAAAAACAACATTTTAGTATAAGTGTAACAGCTTTGCTTAAAATGTTCTTCGATTTCTGCTTTCAAGATTCAAGATTTTATTCAGATCGCTGCATACTCAAATGTGCTTCATTCTACGTTTTTACACGTCCATAAAGCTAAGAAAAGTGCCATCGACTCTTTGTACGAAATGGAGGGCGTAATTCCAGAAAAGCTTTTAAAAAAAATTGGACGACTTTATGCTGAAAAATAACATAAATCGTGAGAAACATGAGATTTTTTTCGATCAAAGGGCCATACGCCCTCTACGCCCTAACCTGGATCCGCCACTGTCAACTGTTGTGTAGAAAGAAAAACAATAAAAAATTGCCTGAGTTAAGTAACAGTTGGAGATCTTACCGTTAAGAAAGTAAGATTTAAACGCCAGTAGAAAAGCTATCATTCCGAGGAGTATAAGTAATATTAAAGTAACAGTTTGATGATCTTACCGTTATCACAGTAAGATTTAAACACCAGTAGACAATCTATCATTCCTAGGACTATAACAATTTGCCTGAGTTCAGTAACAGTTGGACGATCTTACCGTTATCAAAGTAAGATTTAAACACCAGTAGACAAGCTATCATTCCCAGGACTATAAAAATTTCCTTGAGTTAACTTAAGTAACAGTTTGACGATCTTACCGTTATCAAAGTAAGATTTAAACACCAGTAGACAAGCTATCATTCCCAGGACTATAAGTTATAGTTCAGTAACAGTTTGACGATCTTACCGTTATCAAAGTAAGATTTAAACACCAGTAGACAAGCTATCATTCCCAGGACTATAACAATTTCCTTGAGTAACGTAACAGTTTGATGATCTTACCGTTATCAAAGTAAGATTTAAACACCAGTAGACAAGCTATCATTCCCAGGACTATAACAATTTCCTTGAATTAAGTAACAGTTTGATGATCTTACCGTTATCAAAGTAAGATTTAAACACCAGTAGACAAGCTATCATTTCCAGGACTATAAGTTATAGTTCAGTAACAGTTTGACGATCTTACCGTTATCAAAGTAAGATTTAAACACCAGTAGACAAGCTATCATTCCCAGGACTATAAGTTATAGTTCAGTAACAGTTTGACGATCTTACCGTTATCAAAGTAAGATATAAACACCAGTAGACAAGCTATCATTCCCAGGACTATAAATTATAGTTCAGTAACAGTTTGCAGTCTTACCGTTATCAAAGTAAGATTTAAACACCAGTAGACAAGCTATCATTCCCAGGACTATAAGTTATAGTTCAGTAACAGTTTGACGATCTTACTGTTATCAAAGTAAGATTTAAACACCAGTAGACAAGCTATCATTCCCAGGACTATAAGTTATAGTTCAGTAACAGTTTGACGATCTTACCGTTATTAAAGTAAGATTTAAACACCAGTAGACAAGCTATCATTCCCAGGACTATAAGTTATAGTTCAGTAACAGTTTGATGATCTTACCGTTATCAAAGTAAGATTTAAACACCAGTAGACAAGCTATCATTCCCAGGACTATAAGTTATAGGTCAGTAACAGTTTGACGATCTTACCGTTATCAAAGTAAGATTTAAACACCAGTAGACAAGCTATCATTCCCAGGACTATAACAATTTGACTGAGTTCAGTAACAGTTTGACGATCTTACCGTTATCAAAGTAAGATTTAAACACCAGTAGACAAGCTATCATTCCAAGGACTATAAGTTATAGTTCAGTAACAGTTTGATGATCTTACCGTTATCAAAGTAAGATTTAAACACCAGTAAACAAGCTATCATTCCCAGGACTATAACAATTTCTTGAGTTAAGTAACAGTTTGACGATCTTGCCGTTATCAAAGTAAGATTTAAACACCAGAAGACAAGCTATCATTCCCAGGACTATAACAATTTCCTTGAGTTAAGTAACAGTTTGATGATCTTACCGTTATCAAAGTAAGATTTAAACACCGGTAGACAAGCTATCATTCCCAGGACTATAAAAATTTCCTTGAGTTAAGTAACAGTTTGACGATCTTACCGTTATCAAAGTAAGATTTAAACACCAGTAGACAAGCTATCATTCCCAGGACTATAACACTCTTTGTCCTTCTCATTATTCCGTTCTTTTAGATATTTATTCATTTTTATTTCCTCTCATTTCTAGTTTTAGTTAAGAACCCGGATGACACACTGAAACAAAATAAAATACGGATTAAATATAATATAGTTTTAGGATAACAGATTTAGCTCATGAGTATAAACAACAGCTGTACGTTGCTTATTTTTCAAATCCGATTTATTTTTGTAGGAAAAACGCATATAAAATATCAGATTGTGTTCATTATTAGTGTTGATTTCTACGGGACTTGAGGCGAAATTAAAAACAAATTTGGTGCAATATCTGTTATAATATTTTTGGTCACTCGAATAATTACATTGAATAAAGACCTGTATAATGGTTTCTAAGCTATATATATTACGTGGTTAGTAACTGTGGACATTTACTTTTTATTTATTTTTCTATTTCTCTTTTACGTACCAGCTTATTTTATTATTTGCGACTGTTGCAGGAAACTAGCATAATAAGTAAAGTATGTTATATTTAGTTTGCATTATCTAAAGAGCAGTTTAACCAGAATAGTTGCTGGTTATCAACGGAAGATTCAAGTCGGGATAAAGTTTAACAATTTAATACACGTTCCAACACGAACATAGAAGACGTTACAATATTTAGTTCGGCGTTATATTAACGGTACCCGTCCTTAACCAAAACTGAATATAAATCATTTTTAAGAAGTACATAAATCATAATCATCAAGATATGCATGTAACTATTGATTAAGTTATAAATGTCAATTTGTTGAAACTGTCTGTGACATGTAGATATAAAATCCATTATCGGATTAGTAGAAACCTGCATTAAAAACAAGTTATTTACATGGAAAATTTAAGATAGAGATGACAGTTAAAAAGGGTAATAAAAAAAGTTCGAAAGACAATAGTCCAACAACATTGAAATGCTTTTTGTCCAGTCATAGTAGTTTTAAAATGTTAATGATTTCTATCGAAATATCTATCCCGTCAACCTATTCAGATTTATTTTAATATTTTGCCGTTTTCTATGTAGGAATCAGAAAAATATGAAAATGAAAATACCCAATAAACAATAACACACCATAACATTTTTTTAAAATGAAAATAAAACGGGTATAAGACTAGTCACAATGACAACCTGAATACAGCAACTAAACGAAAACAAAGTTCTATTTTAATAAATACTTCTGATCAGTTTCTTTGTCAGTTGACAAAAATGTATAAACAAAAATACCGACCTCCAAAGTAAATTCAAAACAGGGGATTTCCATAAAAACTAAAATCAAACGTTATCAACCAACGGAACGAGTGGAAAACAACTGGTATATTCCCGACTTGGTACAGGCATTTTCCGAAGAAAAATGGTTGGCTAAACCTTGTTTTATGGCTAGCTAAACATCCCACTTGTATAACAGCAGTTTATAGTTCCGTTATATTGACAATATTGGGTGAGCAACCCAAACAGACTTAATATATTAATGTGACAATAATTAGGATCCAGCATCAAAAACTGCGTAAACATACATCACAGACAAAACTGACTTAAAAATACGTGTTTTGAACAATAATCCAATTAACATGCCCGTTATATATTCTTAAGCAAATGATCTGAGACATGATTGTATAGACAAAAGAATGTCTGCATACTATATACTAGTAAATTGTTACAGATTTAGTTTGTTATTTAGAATGATAATTATTGAGATAAAAATATTTGCACTCAAAGTATCTCAAGTGGACATTTGCTTATTGCAAAAAAATGATCCAAATTACCGTATGAAGCTAAAACACCAGTTTAAATAGGTAAAGTTGGCGCTCCATTACTCTTTAATGCTTTATAAAGTTAATAATGATAGGATATATATGTGTGATTGTCTTACCCTGACAGACACACTAATAATGATAGGATATATGTTTGATTGTCTTACCCTGACAGACACACTAATAATGATAGGATATACTAGTATGTGTTTGATTGTCTCACCCTGACAGACACGCACGCAATCATCTTTATATGTATGTTTGTAATTTGAAATAATTTTCTGAATTCACATGTATATGTGTTGTGTTTAAAGGTCAAACAGTAATATAAATCTAATTATTATCTATAAATTGATTGTAATATACTTTTGAAAGTGTATTCGTTATTCAGTGGCGGATCCAGAACTTTTCATAAGGGGGAACGCTGACTAACCTAAGGGGGGGCCCGCTCCAGTCATGCCCCCAGCCCCCCCCCCCCCTTTGATCCGCCTATGCCGTTTATTTTTTAAATAAGTCATTTAAGCCAAATATTTTCGATACCTATATCTGACATACATTTGATAAATATTTAACCCCACCAAATTGCCTGAATTAAGTCGTGGATCTGGATCTTGTGTTGTTCGTTGTTGTTGATCTTTGTTTGTGCATCTATTCTAGAGAGGGTCGGTTGTCGGTGTGATAAGTTTTGGTAATTTATTATACTCTTGTTATATATTATATATATACCTCAGTCTTGATCTCAGTGGGAAACCTAGTGTCGAAGTATAACCTCCCTTTAAGCACTCAAAACTTGATCTTTTCGATGTTTGTCCTGTTTTAGCAAGGATTATGTACCCTTTTGTTGTTTCAATGCTGAACCTATGGCAGTTTTATAGAAAATCCAGTGCCTTTCCCCTTGTACTCTTATATTTGACCTTTGGGTACTTTATAGATAGGGATTGCTGTATGCATTGTCAACAATGATTTCCCTAAAGGAATTTTTTAAATAAAGAATAATTACACATATCGACCTATTCGAGCACACCTTCTAGGCTAGGGTGTGCTCTACTTTGATGACTCGGCACGATATTTTACGGATTGTAAAGGTTGTGTAGGACTTTTTGTAAACATTAAAAAGTGCAAGCACAACATGAACGAACAAGTGAGTAATCTACTAGTATGTTTAAAATGCTAAAACGAAAATCTCTAATAAAAATCTTGATTTTCTGTAAAAATTTTGGCTTGATCTGCTATAAAATCCCCATTTTCTATTAAGGTTCATCTATACACTTCCACCAAAATGGCTGTGTTTACACCATGAAATTTTCTCTGAATGCAGACAAAACTGTGTAATTCTAACAGTTTTAATTCCTGGCAGCACCTAGATATATACAAGTTGTATTCATTTTGTGTTTTAAAAAGAAAAACCTTTTGTGGATTTTGCTAAACATTTTCTTTCCTTGCCACAGGTGGTGTAAAATAAACAAAGTCATGTGAAATCTTTGAGATGGTCCCCCTCAGCATGCTCAGGTAATGATTGTATTGTATCATATTGATTGATATGGACAATAGAGGGACAATAGAAATCTACTCACAACAAAGGTGATTTAAATAGTGTAAATGAGTGGACTGTATAAAAGAAAACTCAGGTGTTTGTTTATTTCTCCATCTTCTGTGGCAAGAAAGACACGTCTCCTGTATTCAATATTTTTGTTGTTTTGATATTATTGCACCTTGAAAATTCAGTAATACACTGGCACAAAGAAGGTATCATAAACCTAATTATAACTTTCAAAGAAAAACGTTCTGGTAAAAAGTAACAATAAAAACAAAATTTCCGTATAATGTTATCCTTTCCCTCCTGAAATAGCAAACAACGAATACACCAAGCTATATGAGCTTTGTGTTATATTTGTTTCAAAATGTTGATATGCAAATTAAGGTTCACGACTATGGTCCTTTGGCTAAAATGGCGGTTCTCACCTCATTTACTCTTGAGTACAGACAAACCTGTGTATCTCGAAAAGTTTTAAGGCAAATAGTAATATAAATCTAATTATTAATATAATCATGTTTGAATTGTTTTACACTAGTCATTATGGGACTCTTTATAGCTTGCTGTTCGGTGTCACTGTGTTGAAGGCCGTACTTTGACCTATAATTGTTAACGTTTTACACATTGTGACTTGGATGGAGTGTTATCTCATTGGCACTCATACCACATCTTCTTATTTCTATATATAGCATGCCCTAGATAAATAAAATTCAAATTTCCTGGAGGACCAACTTCAGTTTATTTTTCTACTGGCTGTATACCTCTCTGGAACATGCCAATTATCCGTATATGTATGCAGCTATATCAGAGAAGTTCAGCGAAAAAATACCAAAGGAATCGATTGATATGCAGCAAAGATTAGCACTTTTGAAATTATTAATAAGTTACTAAAGCTATTCAAACGGACCTTATTCCGATATAAACATTAAATGCGAATACATCGAGAAGACCTCAAATACATGTACATAAATCGAGAGGACCTATTCTTAAAATGAAAAAAAAATATAGTAAACATCTTGTAACGGATAGCCTATTTTATATAAAAATACGTATCTTTAGATTTTTTTAAACTGCACAGATACAACTTTATATCAGTAATTAACGAAAAGACAATAGCAATATACTATCATGGAAAAGTCAAGAAGCTCATTGGCAATTCTACCTCATCTCCTTATTTTATAATGTCACATGTTTGAATTATCAGATCTTTTGTATATATAACGATTATTACAAATATCACTCCTTCTCAATTTTCCCAAATAAGGTAATATAAAAATAAGTAGAAGTGGTATGAAGAAGAAGAAGAAGAAGAAGAAGATGTTTTATTTCCATTAAATGGGCTCACAAAGAGCATAGTACAATATAAGACATTAATAAGACAATAACAAAAAGAAACAAGAATTGTCTAGTATACATACAAAGAAAAGAAAAAGCAGTTTGAACATCATGAACTACACACATATATAAATATATATAAGTATACGTTCAACAGTGTTTCCTTCCTTCTCAGGTTCACCCCAACATGAAAAAGTTCCTAAAATAAATTGGCAATGTATTGGATATTTTACTTTACTGCAAAAGCCACCAAGGGACGGTGATGCATCGCAAGGTGGGATATAGACGCACATGGTATACATGAATGTAAATAGATAATTTGGTTATGATATTATGAGCAGATGCACAAACCTGGTATGTCATCCTCGTGCCTGATGCAGAAGGGGTTGATACATATTGTAAGATGACCCGAGTGCAAGAGACCCCAAGGGACGATGCTAAATGACATTTCCAAGTTTTCATAGTA